TAAAGGGGGGTTCCAACCATATGTCCCCATTCAAAAGCATTGATCGTCAAAAAAGGGGTTTTCAATCCTATTTTCATGGTTCATCATTTAAACCTTTCCCCACAAAAACCCCTCCCCCCGCATGAAAATCTTAAATTTTTTTTTGTATTAACCATTTCTTGTTTTAATGTTATCTTTACTATAAATTGAATATCCAGCACTGAATAGGGTGACACGTTGTCGCTACACTCCATTAAATATACACGTCATAATTACATTGGCCTTAGGGGAACTTAATTGATAATTAGAGGATCAAAGGATTTAATTAAGACAATCCAAGGCTGCTATCCCTATATTTTATTACTTTGTCGGTTTTATGATTAAAACCACCCTTTCTGTTAACTAGATTTGAAGAAAAAAACCTTTTTCACCCTATCATATCCATAAGATTTTTTTTTAGAAAATGACACCTGCTGAATCTAAGAATATTGCAAACTTCATTTCCACATCTGTATCTAGTGCTCAAATGTATAGCATTCTAAATGAAAACTGGAATCACCTATTTTTTTTCCTTTTAATAAGCGAGAAATGTCCTGGTTTAAAAGATGCTTCAAATATGCGTGGCTGCACTATTTCCCATGCATTGTCTATTCAACTTCACAGGACGGAATTTAATGCAAATTTTGCGTTTTGTTCCGTACTGACGACAACCCCGGACAGTTTGTTAAAAAAAACCGTTCAGAATAGGGGTAAAGCAACCGGTGAATGTTAATCTAAAAAAAAACAACCTAAAACACCAGCCTTATTAAGTTCTCAAGACTTCACCAACACACATGATAAGACGACTAGAGGATTAGATGCAAGGGCTGATACAGCATTTGCAAAACGGGTGGATACAATCTGTAATTAAATAATTAAACTAATCTAAAAAGTTTATTTTGAGTAACCATATGCCGGATAAACAAAAAGTGTGCCAATTATTGAAAAAACCATATGGTTTGGTTTAATAAGAATACTTCTCTAATGTTCAAAAACATTTCTCACAACCCCCCCCGCTTTAAGCTCTGGATCCGCGCCTGATACTCTCTGAATGGATTAAGGCTGTGAGGTCATTGATACAAATCCGAATTAAGAAACTAAATGGGTCTATCAATACCCACGCTACGTCAATTTTTAAAGACCCAAATGTTGCAAAACACTTGTCCTACCTCCATGACAAATATGTTGTTGTCCCCGCAGATAAAGCCCCAAACAACATCGTTTTTGTGTGTAAACATCATTACATAATAGTTATCAAAGGTACCAGGCTTATAATTTTTATAAGCCAGACGCGCGTTTCGTCTACATAAGACTCATCAGTGACGCTCAGATCAAAATAGTTGAAAAGCCAAACAAGTATAAAGTTGAAGAGCATTCATATCCAACTAAGTCAGACATCACGTGACTTTTGTGACGTATACTAGCCGCCATTTTGTATTATATTGCCCCATATAAAATGCATAGGTGCCTCAATAAAGTTGAGTTTTCTCATGAACCTGACCCGTTTTCTAACTTTTGCAAATCAATCCTTGATATTCAAACATATTTCTATCAAACAATGCTGGTCCTAACAGTTTAATTTTTGATTAAATTCTGTCACTGGAGAATCGTAAAAACATGTACTTTTTCTCGTTATTTCTCCGTTGACTCAATGCTAAATTACCGATACCCATGTCTACTTGTATAACAAATAAAGAAATCCCGTTAATAAAAATAAAACTTTGCAACTCGATTAAGTATATTCAAACAAATATCTGGCGAAAAATACTATTTAAAACAGTTTAATTTCTGGGCAATTTCGGTCAAAAATCGATTTAAAAAAGTGAATATTTCGGGATTTTTCAAAATGGCGGATGATGTATATGGAAATGTTGCATCAAATCGAGGATTTGTATAGTATGACTTTCCTTGATTTAATTTAATTTTCATGTAGAATCTCTGATGTTTCTGTTATTTTCTTTGGTGATATTTCGATATGATTGTTTTCAAAATTTATTGATTAAAAAAATATTATTTTAAGTGTGACCAAGGAATTATATGTTTAAATATACAATTCCTTGGTGTGACACGGGAAAATTTTATTTTGACAGATATCCAGGATATACTGTTACCAGAAAATAGTTAACAATAAAATTTATAATAAAATTTTTTCTCTTCTTTTTTTAAAAGGTTTTTTTCCTGTTTTCTGTATAATTTATCTTTCTTTAGAAATATATTTATACATTCCTTTTAGAACAAAAAAATATTTACGTCCCAAGAGAGAAAAAAATCCCAACAATTATTATAGATAAATATTCCATACCTAAAAAATCCCATCACTTGACGAACAGGTGAACTCTGACTTTGGATGTAATGTTACATAACAATATATTGTCAGGTAGACGTGCAAACCAAAAGCAACCAGGTGACATTAAACATCCTGTGTATACATGTATTACCAGAGTTTAAATTTTGTGATATACAAAAGTTTTCATAACTGTACAAATAAATATCTTCTCTTCCCCGTGTCAAACCAGAAGAAGTATGTATCATAATAAACTTAAAGAAAATATGAATATTATAAAAAAAAATCTTTAAAAAAATAATTTTTGCTTTAAAAGATAATCAAACTAATATTTATGTTTCTATAATTATTTTAAAGAAATATTTTGATTCAAATTTTAATTTAAAAGGATTTTGTATTATTTCGTAAAAAATTAAACGAGATTTCATCGAATATGATTTTATTATTTATTTTTTTAATTCAATATTTTAAGCAAAATCCAGGCATTCAATAAATCGATATAAAGTTAAACTTGTGTAAAAAAATTTGTTATTGTATACATTTCAACAGAGACATATAATACAATTGCTCTGATTTCAACAACATTGTATACCCGACAATATTTATCGACAGAGTTATCGGTCCTGAATAGGGCTGATATAGTTGGGTATGGAGGACCCAAAATAGCAAAAAGTTGTGCCAAATACGGCTAAGGTAATCTATGCCTGGGATAAGAAAATCCTTAGTATTTCGATTAATTTTTACTTTTGCAAACAGTTAATTTATAAAAAAAACACCATATAACTGATATTCATGACTACTGGGCTGGTGATACTCTCGGGGACGAAACGTCCACCAGCAGTGGCATCGACCCAGTGGTGTAAATACATAAACTGCTTGATAAATAAATTAGATATTGACAATTCACTTGGAAACTCAACATATACCCTCATGACACTTACCAAAGAGGAAATCATGGATAATCATATGTCTGTTCTATGTTCCTTTGAAATTTCAACCAAAGATGAAGAACTGGATCTTCCATCACTGTATTGGATACCTAAACTACATAAGTGTCCTTACAAACAACGGTATATTGCTGGGTCTTCTAAGTGCTCCACGAAACCCCTTTCTAAATTATTAACATCTATTTTATCAGCAATCAAAGCCGGGCTCCAAAGTTATTGTGAAACTGCCTATTCTAGAGGTGGCGTGAATCAGATGTGGATACTAAAAAATTCCAAAGATCTTTTAGAGTACTTATAATCTAAGACTCTCTCATCTTGCAATAGTATTAAAAAATTTGACTTTTCTACACTTTACACAAGTATTCCCCATTCCAAACTAAAAGACAAATTGAAAGAGTTGGTATTACTTTGTTTCATTAAAAAGAATGGCGAACGTAGATACAAGTATCTTGTCTTGGGGAGGGATAAATCCTACTTTGTACTGTCAGAATTCCAATGGGAATCAATTGTGCCCCTCTTCTTGCTGACTTGTTTCTTTATTATTATAAAGCTGACTTCATACAGGAATTTCTTAGGAAGAAAGATAAGAAGTTAGCAATATCCTTTAACTTTACGTTCTGCTATATAGATGATGTTCTCTAATTAAATAATACAAAATTTGGTGACTAAGTTGAACGAATCTATCCCATCAAACTAGAGATAAAGGATACTACAGATACAATTAAGTCTGCCTCATATCTTGACTTACATCTAGAAATTGACAATGAGGGTCTGTCGAAAACAAAACTTTACAACAAAACAGATAATTTCAGCTTCCCAATTGTAAACTTTCCATTTCTATGTACTAACATACCAGCAGCGCCTGCATACAGAGTATATATCTTCCAATTGATACGATATTCCCGGGCTTATATTTCCTATCATGATTTCCTTGATAGAGGATTGCTGCTCACAAGGAAGCTATTAAACCAAGAGTTCCAAATGGTGAAGTTGAAATCACCCCTTCGTAAGTTTTTTGGACGCCATCATGAGTTTGTTGACCGTTATTGAATTACCGTTTCACAGATGATATCGGATATGTTCCTTATGTCGTATCTACAATACCCTTCCCTTTTCACGAATGTGACCTTCCGAATTAGACTATCTACCGGATTTGTAATAACATAAGCAACACGACGGGTGCCACATGTGAAGCAGGATCTGCTTACCCTTCCGGAGCACCTGAGATCACCCCCAGTTTTCGGTGGGGTTCGTGTTGCTTAGTCTTTAGTTTTCTATGTTGTGTCTTCTGTGCTGTAGTTTGTCTGTTTGTCTTTTTATTTTTAGCCATGGCGTTGTCAGTTTATTTTCAATCTATGAGTTTGACTGTCCCTCTGGTATCTTTCATCCCTCTTTTATAATAGTTGCAAGGGTCAAAATGTATTCTGATTACATGAAATTGCAAATATCTTTGAACTTCTTTGCATATTTATTTAAAATATTGTAAAAATGATCCATGGTTGTCATTGGTTCATGTCCGTCATATTTTTTTTTGTAAATTGTTTCATATTTTTCATGTCAGGGCCTTTAATAGCTAACTATACGGTATGGGTTTTTTTCATTGTTGAAGGCCGTACAGTTGCCTATAATTGCTTACATCCACTTCATTTGAACTTTGGTGGATAGTTGTCTAATTGGCAATTATACCACATCTCCTTATTTTTATATTTTCATGATGCCTGAGTCAGTGCTAAAAAAATAAAACCAAATCATTATCCTCATAAATTATATATTTATAAGAAAAGGCTATTTTACAAAAGATGAGAAATCTGGTTGATTATCAATAAAATAGTATATGTTAACAACTCACAACAAAATAAATATTACATCATATATACAAAGAAACAACAGATAACAATTAAAAATACCTGGTATCTTCCTAATGTTCAAAAGCAGGTATTCACAATATAAAAGACTTTTTATTTTAAGACAATTTCCTATTTATTGTAAAATCTTTTATTCAATTAGAGTGGTCAGACAACAAGGTCTTTTAAATAAAACTGGACAGACAGAATGGTCATATTATATAATTTCAAAGAATGTCTCTAAACAATATGCAAGACAAGTTAGAACCGACTGACAAAAGTGAATTCTAAGTAGTACATATTCTAACCTTTATGACTTTAATACACTTTATGACTGATACAAAATAACTTGAAATAAAAGCTTTTTTCACTTTTATAATAACTGCATCGAAATAACAAGCACCAATTCAAAGTATCGACAATATCTAGCAAGATCACAAGCATTTTATGACACAACTTTTTATCAATTCTATGGAAGAAATATCTGCATTGTAAAGTCATTATTAGATAAAACATGAGGTAAGAATGATAAAACAAATATAAAATGTCATGATAAATAAAATAAATAAATCAAAACAGAACAAAATAGTTTATATCCTAAAACATATATATAGAACTGTTATATAATGGTATGTAACTAAAAACTAAAATATATATAGTACATGTACCAATGTCAGATAGTGGACTACAGAGACAAACGTTTGGTTTTTATTGATCCTATACCATACAATTTGTAACTATAAAGAGTGTTATTACTATTTTCTTAAATTTTGCATTGATATTTTTTTTGTGATCATTTTCCATTTCAAGCTAATCAAAAGAGAATGGTTCTTCTCAATCTAGTAGAGTGAGAATATGATGACATCATAAGCCAAGGAAACAAACAGATTATCGATACTCTATAGGAAGTTTCAAGGCTAGATTTAACTAAAGGGCTATCTCCCTTCAATGAGATTGTAGACAAGAAACTCCCTCATTTTCAAAACCATAGATAATATATAATTACAGTACTTTTATTCCCTGTTACATTAAAAATGTTCTTAATGTTTTTGGTAAAAACTAAAAATTTCTTAAAAGAAAAACAATATATATAATTATGTTTCATAGTGTCCCTACAATGGTTTATATAACAATTTTTGTTTTGAATGGTTCAAAAAATCTTGTTTAAAAAAATTATAAATAGCCTTTCCACTTATTATTTAATTGTTTACAATGGATTCATACCTTTAATCAACCGTGATTTCATACTGTCTTTCCCTGAGTGAATATCAGAATTATCCATATCAAAGTGGAATTAATTTATCTCCTCTTTTTTCAAAACAATTATTTAAATTCAAATTCCATTACCATGCTTTCTCCCCAGGGCCTTACATCCACCTTGGTGCTATATTGTTTTTTTACCATGGCACTTTCTGAAATCATTTAACAATAGAATATGTATACCTACTGTGGTGCTACAACTTTAGGAGGAGAACACTGCCATAGACTATAAAAGGTTTACTCTTAATAAAGATGGTCTTTCCTTAGAGAGTTTAAGAACTTACTATGACTTTTAACAGTCTTTCCACCGAGAATTTTCAGGCATACCATGAATTTGCAGTTGGACTTTGGAAATAGATATCAATTTAACTGTTACTGTTAATTCCATACTTGTCTTTATAAAAATAAGGAGATGTGGTATGATTGCCAAGAGACAACTATACACCAAAGTTCAAATAAATTGGATGCTTTTGGAAGGAAATCTGACAAAATGTATACTGCATATTATTTTCTTGTAATTACTTCATTAGAATCATTAATTTTGATTGGCTGACAATAATTGCTAGGCACTCCAATATCACATTTTACTTCCGTATAAAAATACAAAACTATGACTTCACTTGTTATCTGTGACAATGTTAATATAATGCATTGAAAAACAAATGAAAAGCTTGTTATAACTCTAAATTGCATGGTTATAGCAAAAAATGTAATTATAAGAATTGAATGCTTCTTTTTGTAGTTTTATAGGGTTGTAAAAGCATTGATTGTGCATCCATTTTTAATATGAAGTGTTTCCGCTTCAAACAAAATGTGCATCGGTCAATGCTTTTACACAGCAATAAAATTATAAAAAGAATCATTCAAATCTTAAATGTTTATTTATTTCATTAAAACAAAAACCAATCGACTTACTTTAACTTTCATCCAACTGTTATTCAAAATTTACATCAAGACAATTAAAAAAAAAAAGAAAATAGTTTCATTAGATTAAATAATTTAATCAAATGAATCTTTTTTGGTTTTTAATTGTCTTGATGTACATTCTTTATTAAAAGTTACATGGTTTTAGAAATGTTTTATGGAAAGAAATCGGAATATAGAAAATAAAACTTATCTTGCCTTACTGTTATATCAAGTTTATATGTTTATCAAAAATACTTTACATCGAAAGAAAAAGTATGTAAAGACATTTCTGCAAAAAATAAATGCCATGATTAAATACCAGATAATGTTAAATGATGAAATCTTCAGTTTTCAAAGTATTTTATTGGCCTGTATTTCAATTACTACAGATTCCTGACAATCCATGGGACAATAAATTTTTTAATTAATGGCTCCAAACTAATGTACAGTTCAATAGGATTTAAACAAAAAATTATTGGGTTCTTATTTAGTGTCCACAAAAACTAATTATATAATGACACCTTCTCAGATTATTCTCCACAAAATTGCTTTCAATTTTTATTTGCCTGATGAAAACCTCATACTTGACAACTTCAATGTATGTATACTTGATGAACTAAACAGCTGTTAAAAAAACATTTATGAACATGGTGAAGAAAACAAATCCCAATAAGCAGATAAGTAATACAGCCTTTAGAAACTAAGCTCCTCAACCCATGCTTAATAACTTTAAAAAATTAAATATAGAAAATAATAAAAAAAACAAACTATGGGTTTTCCTTCCAGTGTTTAGAACTAATAAATCTATTGTCAGCAATTATTACAAAGGACAGATATATTTTTGACTACATTTCAGTTTCCACTCAGCAACTTTCTAAACTTTTTTAGGGAATTAATTATTTAATTTGTTCAAAACTATGATTACATATGATAACACTGTTGAGAATCAAAACTTGAAGTGAATAGTACATCAAAATCATATTTTCTTTGTAACTTAAGTTTTAGCACATTTATAAATTTCTGTAATATCATTACTGTATTTATAAAAATAACTGCAAAGATACATCATTATCATCAGTAGCATTGTCAATATGAGCATTTCCTATCAGAATGGTGCAGCCAACAAACTATCATTATAAAAGTCTTTGAACCAAATATATCACATTATAGCACTAGGTTAGACTTGGAGTTGGATAGTGATCCTCCAGCACTGCATCCCGATTGTAAAGAGTTCGATCGTGATCGTCCAGCACTGCAGCCTAATACTAACGAATTTGATCGTGGTCTACAACAATGTCCTTCTAAATTTTTTTCATTCTGATAATGGTTTGTCTCCGGTATATTTAGAAGTTCATTTATGAAATCTTCTGTCTCCTGTTCAATTTCTGGTTTCATTTCCATGTAGGAGTCCCATGAAAGGTCTGGACTATAGCTATCCTTTGAAGGACTAGGAAGATTCATGTCCATCTTATCAATGTCAAAAATTTCTTCAAAATTGTAGCATTGTGTGTCTTCTTCATCTTTGTAGTAGTAAGCCATAACAGACTCCATTTCGTTTGTTATAAGTAGGCACTGTTCAAAAGTGTCAAAAATTTCCTGGTTGTGAAGTGTGCTTTCTTTCTTGCTAGACATATCTGTACTTACTACTACATTTTGGCCATGAGAACTGGATTCCAAAGATATCTTATCAATATTCATGTGATCCATGTGACCTTCAAGGTGACGTAATGTATGAAGGGAGTTTTTTACTTTTGTGTCAAAGTCAACAGCAAATCCTATGTTAAGATTTCTAACTACTGGGGCAGTTGGCTGGGGCTGATATGGACTGCTTGATGGCAAAGCACGTCTTGAGACATCTTTGTTCAAATTAAATTCTGTAATAGCCAGCTGACAAGTAAATCTGTAAAAAGACATAGACATTAATATTTGTATTTACTTAGAAAACTTATTTTTTAAATTTACTTTTGGGAGAAAAATTTCACATTAACTTTGAATAATTTTTTTTATATTTACTTTAGAAAGCTGAACTTCACATTTACTTAAGGGCATAAGATACAGTTAAAGGGGAGGTAATGACGTTGCTAACGTAAAATGTTATTTTTCTCCACGTCAAACTGTAACATATTGGGAAAAGATGCATTTTAGACAGATTTTTATCATTCAAATTGATTCAACTTGAAAACAAGTTCATGGATCCCTCTTTTTAATAAAATGCTCCGCTGGGCGCAGCTTGATACGACCGCAGAGGTCGAACCCTGAACAGTTGGGACAAGTATGGACACAACATTCAAGCTTGATACACACTGAATTTGGATTGTGATTAAATATTTGACACAGCATAGGTTTCTGAATGAATGTGGTCTAAGAACTTTAAAAAATTTAATTTACCTATTCAAACCATATCATTATTATTTGCTTATATATATATATCAGAAATAACCAATTTAAAATGAAAAATTTTAAAGACAAAAAAAGGAAAAAAGGAAGAAAAAAAAAATCCCTCCCCCTAAATTTTTTGAACCCCCTTATGATTCATCACCCCCAAACTCAATCCCAGCCTTCCCTTTGTGGTATGGTACCTTGCAGTACAATTTCAGAGAGATCCATACACTTGAACACAAGTTATTGTCTGGAAACTAGAAAAAATGCTTGTTTTTTTGCCCCTTTTTGGCCCCAAATTCCTAAATGTTTAGGGCAATTACCCCCAAACTCAAACCCAGCTTTCCCTTTGTGATATAGAACCTTGTAGTACAATTTCATAAAGATCCATACACTTACACACAAGTTATTGTCCTGAAACTAGAAAAATGCTTGTTTTTTGCCTATTCAAACCATATCATTATTATTTGCTTATATATATATATCAGAAATAACCAATTTAAAATGAAAAATTTTAAAGACAAAAAAAGGAAAAAAGGAAGAAAAAAAAAATCCCTCCCCCTAAATTTTTTGAACCCCCTTATGATTCATCACCCCCAAACTCAATCCCAGCCTTCCCTTTGTGGTATGATACTTTGCAGTACAGTTTCAGAGAGATCCATACACTTGAACACAAGTTATTGTCTGGAAACTAGAAAAATGCTTATTTTTGGCCCCTTATTCCTAAACGTTTTGGGCAATTACCCCCAAACTCAATTCCAGCTTTCCCTTTGTGATATGGAACCTTGTAGTACAATTTCAGAAAGATCTATACACTTACACACAAGTTATTGTCATGAAACTAGAAAAATGCTTGTTTTTTGCCCCTTTTTTTGCCCCTTATTCCTAAAATTTTGAGGCAATTACCCCAAAAATCAATCCCAGCATTCCTTTTGTGATATGGAACATTGTGGTACAATGTCAGAGAGATCCATGCACTAACACACAAGTTATGTCTGGAAGTTACAAAAATGCTTATTTTTTGCCCCTTTTTGGCCCCTAATTCCTTAACTGTTGGTACCATAACCCCAAAATCAATCCCAACCTTCCTTTTGTGGTATTGAACCTTATGGTAAAATTTCATAGAGATCCATTCACTTGAACTAAAGTTAGAGTGCGAAAACCAATGTGTCTTCGGACGACGACGACGATGACGAAGCCAACGTCATACCAATATACGACCCCAAAATTCTTTTGCGGTCGTATAAAAATGACATTTGGCTTAATGATGCATGAAGATTATTTGTGCCAATTTTTATGAACAAATCACTAATGAAGTTTTTTAAAATTAGATAAATATATGGCAAAAAATGCTGTTCTTTGACTAAAATAATGAAAATGTGATAAAAATGAATAATTTCCAAAGAATTGTTACACAGCCTAGCTGATATTTCCCTTACCTTGCAGTGTATTGTTTCTTTCTATTAGACAGCCTAGCTGATATTACCCTTACCTTGCAGTGTATTGTTTCTTTCTATTAGACAGCCTAGCTGATATTTCCCTTACCTTGCAGCGTATCATTTCATTCTATCAGACAGCCCAGCTGATATTTTCTTTACCTTGCTGCGTAAAGTCTCTTCATATTGGACAGTCTAGCTGACATTTTACTTACCATGCAGTGTATCATCCCTATCTATTTGACAGCATAGTGATATTTTACCTACACTGCTGTGTAACATCTCTTCTTATTGGACAGTCTTGTTGACATTTCTCTTACCTTGCTGTGTAACGTCTCTTCTTATTCGACAGTCTAGCTGATATTTCTGTCATCAAGTCAATAATCTCTCTGTACATGTAAGTCATATCTTGTGGCAAAGATGGTAAATATTCCAATAACCTAAAATGATATATATATATATTCATGTAATTCATCACTAGAATTATTACAATTTTTAAGTATCAAGTTTGACAAAAGTAGTTTTAATTCTGTTTCAAAGTAACAGTTCTGTGCGTGTGTGTATGGTTATAACATTTAGTTTGTAAAGGTAACTATCAAGTACTGACTGACGTTGGGTTGATTTCATTATTTGGTAGGCCATTTTAATGCTTAATATATATACATTTAGTATGGGCAGTGCTGAAGACCTTATCTAGTGATTCTGAAAGTTTGGGACCTGCTAAAGCATACTTCATTTTGGAATTAGGCTTAAGTGGTTAGTGGCTGGTTATCCTTATCTCTTTGAATTCATGTAAATTTCAGGATATGTAGTCTTAAGAGCACTTAAAATTTAATTTCTGTATTATATATATTTTCAAGGGCATAACTCCTTTAAAAAATAGTGATTTGGAACATGTGGAACTAATTTCTGAATTTGTCTAAACCATTACATGTACTGATATAAACCTATGACATTAAATTCATAAATTCTGGCAAGAAAAGTAACTGTAAGAGGTAAAAGATAAAAAGATAAAGGACGGATGCCAATTAATTCAATTTCCCCTGCACCAGGTTGCGCTAGGGACAATAGCCAAATTAGATTTATTTCAAAGCAATGATAGATAAATGTGCTTCTAACAAAAAGTAAATAACAGGTCAGCAGTATTGTTTCATTTCAAACCTTGAGTGAATTTCGAATTACATGCCTAAACAAATTAAATTCATAGATCTTTTTTGAGCAGTTTAACATATTTCTTGTCGGTTTTTTAATATTATTCTTGTATTGGTTGACTTTAGCAGTAAATTTTGATATAAATACATAAAAAGTATGTGTCACTGTGCTTATCTTAGCAAACTTGAAAAAAATTGTTCCTAAAAGTATTTTTCCCAAATTGTTGCTTGTGATAATAATAATGTTATTACGACGTCATCATCAACAAAACCAGTAAAGCTGAAAAAAAAATTCTTTCATCAAAAAACCTTGAACCAAACCTACCTTACCACACCATTGTAGACAATATCAAATGGTAAAACCCATGGTGTTGCTAAAACTCCCAGGCACCTTAATGTTCTAGATCGATGTATATAGGACTGGAAACTTGTACTTATAGCTGCCTGGAATGCTGAAAATTAAAGGAATGTTTATATCAACAATGTGTAAAATAGTACTAATGTTTCAGTCAAATATTCTTATTAGCGAGATATAAAATTATACAGTCTAACCTGTGTATGAAGTTCACCCTTGGGACCAAAGAAAACTGACCTTTGAATTGAGGTTTAAAATGCATAGGAATTACTACAGTCGTCATGAATAGGTGACTTGAGAAGACAGGTTTTCTCTGAATAGGGATGACTTTTATAGCAGGTTTGACTGTAGTTATCTCAGCCAGAGGGCAAAGTAATGAAAAGGCAATTAAAGCTGTCTTTCTCATGACAAGTGGAGCTAATTTTGGTTTTTTGCTACGCAATGCTGTTTGAGAGAAAGTTCTGTAACTCTTAAAATAAATTAATCTGAATGATTGTATAACGGGTAATCCAAATGATTTTACCATATTGGCTGGCCTTAAATTTGAAAAAAATAATTGATGTATACAGTAATTTTTTTTTTGTAAATAAATAATCATTTATAAATGTTTTACTCCTAAAAAGTGAGATTTTTCTTTTCCTTATAACAGTGAGCATAAAGGTGTCAAGATTCTGATTGTTCTGCTGTGTTCAGGACAAATTCCTTAACATTTTCACAAAGTTTACATAACTTGAGAGTAAAATTGCTAATCTGGAAATCTCTAAAATATACTTCTGAACAAATCATATTGTTGCCATTTTTTAAATGAGTATGTATTATCTCCCTTTTCCTGACATTTTAATGTCCAAAAATATTTGTTTGGTTGGACACCATTGCCCATTACCTTTAGCTGGGTTGCATTCAATATCATAGCTGCTACTTAGAGCTACGTAGATTTTGACTACTGAAAGTATATCTAGCCTAGCTGCTAAATAGATCTAGATAGCCCAAAAAATTCATGCTATCTACAGAATCTAAAATGGTGTCAGAAAGGTTATTACTGATGACATCATTTTCATAGGCTAGCTACGTAGCATATCGTTCAACATAGATAGATATCTAAGACATAACAGTTATACTAGCTGCTACAATACTGAACACAACCCAGGTGTAATGATTATCCAGAATAAATGAATTGTATTTAAGTGTCAGCTCCTGATATTTTTTTTAAATAAGAATGTGTCCATAGTACACAGATGTCCCACTCGCACTATCATTTTCTATGTTCAGTGGACCCTGAAATTGGGGTCAAAACTCTAATTTGACATTAAAATTAGAAAGATCATATCATAGGGAACATGTGTACTAAGTTTCAAGTTGATTGGACTTCAACTTCATCAAAAACTACCTTGACCTAAAACTTTAACCTGAAGCGGGACAGACGGACGAACAGACGAACGCACAGACCGAAAAACATAATGCCCCTAGGTGGGGCATAAAAAAAAAAAAAATTCACATATGATAAAATATGACATCAAATAAAATAAATCAAATAAAAGGCATGCAAAACAATTTTTGAAATACAATAATACAATAATTTGTAAAGAAAATAAAGCATACCTTCAACAACAATAGGAGGTAATGTATCAACCAGAGCTCCTTTCTGTTTTATTCTGCATTCTTCACAGTTCTCTTCATCACACAGACCATCAACTTCTTCATTCAAGTCACTACTCTCCTGTCTGGAGACTAAACTGAGAGATGAACTCTCTTCTACCGAAACAATGGACGATTTCACTGTCAAATGTCGGGAACATGTTATCAACTCTGCAACCAGAAAAGAAGTATGATTTAGATGTTTGGTTTACAAGTTTTTATAAGAAAACAGTGTACTGTAAACTGAAAAGTGAGTCAGAATTGTGGCAAACAGAAAGATTTCAAATCAGCCCTTAAATATATATATGTGTAAATAACATTACAATATATACATGTACATGAATGATGCAAACCAAAACTGAGTAATTATACTTTATTTACAGTAAGTTTTCTCTAATTGTTATAAAATAAAAGAAATAAAAACACTGATAACCAAGCTATATGTATTTATGTAACAGTTATGACAGTCAGGGACTTACTGAAATAAGTGTTTTTTTTAATTGGCTATAAAAGGTAACAAGACGAATCTTTCAATCAACTAAATAGTTCAGTTATTGAACCTTTCATTGCTGAAAAATTCAGGACTCAAGATGTATTATCTTGAAATTCTTAGAGCCCAAAGTTGTATGGTGTTTGAGGGAAATACACTGTATTATACTTCTAAGTGATTTGGGGGTAAAATTTTTGAGAAATCACACTCATATACAAATAAGTGAAACAATCATTTGTTCAACAGGTGCATTTATGCTGCTTTCAGAAGTTTGTTAAAAATGTATGGGGTTGATGTTTCAGTTTAGGCCAAAAATAAAATTTAAATTGTTTGCTGTTGCCTACCTATCCACCTTAAAAGCAGCCTACCAGAAAAATGTTATGATACAAATTGTTTCAATTTTTTTAAAAAGATTTTTTCCTGCTCTAATGTCTTTTTTTTGTCTAAAAACCTGTAACTTATGTTGTTGGACAAATAAAAAATAACCCTACCTACCTACCCACCAACAAGAGACATGGGTTTGCAACATCAAACAAAGAATTTTTAAGGGTGGTCTCATCCATTTTTTTTTATTGAATAAATTTATTGATGGTCTTTTAAAATATGAACTAATATTAGTTACTTTAACGGGTTTTTTTTCTGGTCACAAATATTATGATTTATTACTAATTTTGGTATCAATAAAATTATCAGAAAGAGAAACAACTCCTACATTACTTCAACAATTTTAACTGATTAAAGTGATTTTTAAATCATTTGTTTGAGTAAGTCCCCTAACTGTGTAATATTTAAGAACAAGCACATGTTGGTTCTAGTTTTAGTACCTAATGTGATGAATAAACCCTTTTGTGATTTGTTACACATTTTAGCCCTGTAAACTGCATGCAGAATTGAAAATCTAATCTATAGTAGTGCTTCTAATGATTTAAATTTACTAACCATTTCTTTGAAGAAATCGTAAACAATCATCAAATCCATGTTTACACATGTCACTAAGTAATTCTGGCTTACATGGAAACAATATTCGTGTGATTCTGTATAAATTCTTCCCAGACATCTGTACACTGGTATTGGCAAGATGGATGTGAGCGAAGTTGGCGACATCATCACTGGGACAGATGTCACTTTCACCAGCGAATGGGGAGACTGTGACAGTGTTCTCATCTAGAACTGGCAAGTTATCACTTAATCCACCATCTACATATCGCTGAAAAAAATAAAATTATGGAATGTTATTCTTCTTCTTAGAGTCACACTTTGTGTTACAACATTGAACTCAGTAAAAACTTAGCAGTCAGCAGCAGTTTTTTTTTTGGTTTTGATGGCAGTTGTTTTGTAGCTTCAGATTTGTCAAATTTATTCATGACTTGCATCTATCATAGAAGACTCCGTGATGACTTCTAATAGTTGTTTTTGGTTTAACTGTGTTGTTTGGTTGCTGTCTTTCATAAATTTACTCAAATTCTCATTTCATTTTGATTTGTCAGACAGGAAAAAATTTGACCAAATCTAAATTATTAGCAAAACACTCATTTGTTCTTAAACATCTGTTCTCTATGAGGTCTTCTGATTGCATACAATATATATAAAACTCTATTTGGTGTTTTATCTATCATTTGATATTTATCTTACATAAGGAGTTTTCTTTTTTTCAGATTAAATTTAACAAGAAACAATTATTACAACAAAAGTTTAAAAAGACAAGGATATAAGAATACATTGGGAGCTACAAAAATGTAGGTAGCAAAGTGATTAAAGAAGAGAACTGATCACTTTACAGTATATAAATAGAGAGCAATTTTGAAAAGAAAAACTGATGAAGAGAGTCAGCCAGTTGTTGTTTATAACAATAGTGCATACTGGTCAGATGGGTTAATGATGACACTCTTTGTAATGTTTACTTACTGTTCCTTTGAAAACTGGAGGCAGGAGACCAGAATAAAAAGGTATATGAGCACTGCAAAGTAGAGCCTGAAACACATTAAATGAAGATATGCATAATCATACAATGCAGAAAATAATCAACAAATTAGTGACGTACGGCTGCCCAAGAATTAATGTGAACTAAAGCAACCCATCATCTGTAATATTTGTTAATATTCCCCTCCCTTATTGGTTTTCATTCTATGGTGAACCACAATGGACTATTGTTCATAGTTAGTCATATGGTGTTTTGTTTTATTAAGTCTCCCAAACGAAGTTTGGGAAGACTTATTGTTTTTGCTCAGTTCTTATTATTATTATTATTATTATTCTTCTTCTTCTTCTTCTTCCGCCGCTTTTAAATTTGAACTTGTCCGCACCCGTTCTCCAAAACCGCGTGTCAGATTAACTTGGGGTTTCACAATATGTAAGACTAACATGTCTAGTGGTGCAATCAGGGTTTTGTTTGTGCAATGGGGTTTATAAAGGGGTACTTTGAGGGGCAAAAAGAAAAGAGGGTTTTACTATAGAACCCTATGGGATTTCATTTAAAAAAATTTTCAAATGATTATAAATTGAAAATCGTTTATGATAGACACAATCTTTTTAATTGAAAATGTTCTAAATGATAAAGCCCATTGAATGAAATACAGGGTTAGTCCCCAGGGGTCACCCCCACCCCCTGCCATTTAAGAAAGTTCTAATACCTTGTAAGTGGTCAAGATCCCCACCCCTAAACCATATATATTCTGGTTTGTCATGCTAAGATGGTTTGAATGATATACAGGGTTAGTCCCCAGGGGTCATCCCGACCCCCTGCCATTTGAGAAAGTTCTAATATCTTGTAAATGGTTGAGATCCCCACCCCTAAACCATATATATTCTGGTTTGTCATGATAAAGCACATCAAATGTAATACAGGGTTAGTCCCCAGGGGTCACTCCCACCCCATGCCATTTAAGAAAGTTCTAATATCTTGTAAGTGGTCAAGATCCCCACCCCTAAACCATATATATTCTGGTTTGTCATGCTAAGATGGTTTGAATGGTATACAGGGTTAGTCCCCAGGTGTCATCCAGACCCCCTGCCATTTGAGAAAGTTCTAATATCTTGTAAATGGTCGAGATCCCCATCCCTTAACCATATATATTCTGGTTTGTCATGATAAAGCACATCAAATGAAATACAGGGTTAGTCCCCAGGGGTCACCCCCACCCCCTGCCATTTAAGAAAGTTCTAATATCTTGTAAATGGTCGAGATCCCCACCCCTAAACCATATATATTCTGGTTTGTCATGCGAAGATGGTTTGAATGATATACAGGGTTAGTCCCCAGGGGTCATCCCGACCCCCTGCCATTTGAGAAAGTTCTAATATCTTGTAAATGGTTGAGATCCCCACCCCTAAACCATATATATTCCTATTCGTCATGTCTCGAACATTTGAATGACGTATACGGTCAGTCCCCAGGGGTTCCCCCCACCCCCAATGTTCTAATATCTTGTAAATGGTCGAGATCCCCACCCCTAAACCATATATATTCCTGTTCGACATGTCTCGAACATTTGAATGACGGATAGGGTCAGTCCCAGGGGTTCCCCCCACCCCCAATGTTCTAGTATCTTGTAAATGGTCGAGATCCCCACCCCTAAACCATATATATTCTGGTTTGTCATGCCGATATGAATTGAATGATATACAGGGTTAGTCCCCAGGCATCACTAATGCATATAACTTTACTGGACCAAACCAATTTTCACTGGACTTTGCCCAATGTCAGGCGACCCTGGGAATTACAAATTATGGGAGCTTCATTTGGGAGACTTCGTAACAGCATCCTGTTACAATCATTTCTTGTTAAAAATGTGTCTCCCTTCTTAGATGTCAGTGAACATGGTTAATGTAGGAATTCATCTTTAGTTTGTCTTACAATATTGTTCAATTGTTTTATGTACATTTTTAAAGCATTATACATCATTGTTAGAACATCATGTACATCTATACACAGATCCATATCTATAATTGTTCAAGTAAACTTGTCCAAGAATGATGTCAGTAGATCAAGAAGCTTAGTTATGTAATTGTGTACCACAAAAGAGTGTTACTGTTTACATGTACTTGACCAAGATATATATTTGGCGACTTGACATATTAACAAATTACCTGGATTTATTTTAGGACATGACACGTGTATGGAACACATGATACAATGTATGTAGGAGTATAAACTCCAAACAAATTGCACAGATTATAAATGTTATGACCTAAATTCTTGTCCTAAAATATTTATATATCTAAGATTGAAATATATAAAAGATTATTGATTTATTTCTTGTGCTTAAATCAATAATAGCTTCATAAAAGTATAACCCATCTTAACATTTTTGTTCAAATTCATTATATTTAAAAAAAAATAAATGAGGAAATTTGTTTCTTTGAAATTAATATTTTACCAAATTGAATCAACAAATGTTTGCATTGCATTCCAATATATCTGTGACATTTCCCCCTTTATATTTACAAAATCAAATTCACCTGTGTTATTTTCTAAAACCAGATAATTCTGTGTACCTGGTACTCATTATAATTACGGGGCCTTGAAAGAGTCATGTTTTGTTATTTTGTGAGTGTCACTAGCTCTGATTCCCAGGAGAGGCGCTCTCAAATTCATAATCTCTACCTTACTTTACTAGAGATTAAACTAGAGGCTCTAAAGAGCCTGTGTTGCTCACCTTGGTCTATGTGCATATTAAACAAAGGACACAGATGGATTCATGACAAAATTGTGTTTTGGTGATGGTGATGTGTTTGTAGATCTTACTTTACTGAACATTCTTGCTGCTTACAATTATCTCTATCTTTAATGAACTTGGCCCAGTAGTTACAGTGGAAAATATTTTGTAAAAATATACAAAAATTTACAAAATTTATGAAAATTGTAAAAAAATGACTATAAAGGGCAATAACTCATTAAGGGGTCAATTGACAATTTTGGTCATGTTGACTTATTTGTAGATCTTACTTTGCTGTACATTATTGCTGTTCACAGTTTATCTCTATCTATAATAATATTCAAGATAATAACCAAAAGCTGTAAAATTTTCTTAAAATTACCAATTCAGGGGCAGCAACCCAAAAACTTGTTGCCTGATTGGTCTGAAAATTTCAGGGCAGATAGATCTTGACCTAATGAACAATTTTATCCAGTCAGATTTGCTCTATAAATGCTTTGGTTTCAGAGATATGAGCCAAAAACTGCATTTTACCCTATGTACTATTTTTAGCCATGTCTGCCATCTTGGTTCGCGGGCGGGGTCATTGGACACATTTTTTAAACAAGATACCCTAATGATGATTGTGGACAAGTTTGGTTAAATTTGTCCTAGTAGCTTCAGAGGAGAAGAATTTTGTAAAAGATTACAAAAATTTACAAAAAATGGTTAAAAATTGACTATAAAGGGCAATAGCTCCTCAAGGGGTCAAATGACCATTTTGGTCAAGTTGACTTATTTGTAGATCTTACTTTGCTGAACATCACTGCTGTTTACAGTTTATCTCTATCTATAATAATATTCAAGATAATAACCAAAAACGGCAAAATTTCCTTAAAATTACCAATTCAGGGGCAGCAACCCAAAAACGGGTTGTCCGATTCATCTGAAAATTTCAGGGCAGATAGATCTTGACCTGATAAACAATTTTATCCCGTCAGATTTGCTCTAAATGCTTTGGTTTCAGAGATATAAGCCAAAATCTACATTTTACCCCCTATGTTCTATTTTTAGCCATGGCGGCCATCTTGGTTGGTTGGCCGAGTCACAGGACACATTTTTTAAACTAGATACCCCAATGATGATTGTGGCCAAGTTTGGTTAAATTTGGCCAAGTAGTTTCAGAGGAGAAGATTTTTGTAAAAGTTAACGGACGACAGACGCCAAGTGATGAGAAAAGCTCACTTGGCCCTTTGGGCCAGGTGAGCTAAAAATAGGGACTATATGACTATATAAAAACTTTTTTAGGACTAAAGATACCTGTACATGTAATTTGTCTACACTGTTTAGAAAAAACCTGAATCCATTGCTTAAAAAGAAGATTTATTGTAATAAAAGTTCTAATTAATCAAGTTTCTTTCCCTGGATAAATTGACTCGATTGTACACACAATCCAAATAGCATTTCTTCATTGTTTCTTAAACAATTCAAACCCATGTAATAACTGTTATATTTTGTGAACCTTAGAATTTCTGCAAAGTTTGAGCTTTTTTGTTTGTACATTTTTATGTATCTCTTTTATACAGGTAACAACCAAATATTGATTTATTTTATACAAAATCTACTTGGGAAATCTAAATAAGATTATATATAAACTAAATGCATTTGCACATTCAATAGTTGGTAGGTGCAACATCCATATACACTTAATGGATTTAAACCATGTTTTAGTTTAAACATATTTTATTTGCGAAAGTAGCAAAATGGATTGGACACAAGTTATAACAACATTAATGACGTCCTCTCCCTACCATGTTTAGATTTTAATATGCACATATCTGCCACGTCTGTGTATACAGAGGAAACCATGAAAAAACACATATAACATAAATATTCCCCAAAATAAGTCATCCAGCTATTATAAAAAATATTGGGGTTTGTGGACATTAGCTGTATCAAGGTTGAATATTAACATTTTTTTTTTTGAAATTTCAAAAGTGATAAAATATAAATACAATGTACATGTATTAAGGCAGAAAAAAAAATTCATTATGCTAGTTGAATGAACAAATTTTGGTAGATTATTTTAAGGAATATGGCAATAACAGCTAAATACAATATATATACATGGCATAAAATGACTGTAGAAAAGCCTAGAGTTCCCTGTTAAATGAATACCTGTATTAGCTCTTCTTTAGAATCAAACTGTGACACCAGTACAGCTTTTCGGTCAGAAACCCTTGTAAGTGAGATAAAAAGTTTCCCTGAGGCAATAGTATGTGCATCTTCTGGTAGTACTACGTTTAAAGCATCTCGTAAAATCTTTACAATATTAAAACTTGGATGTAAAGGTCCAAGTGATTTAGATCTTGCCTTTGTTGCTAAACGTAAAATAAAACTAGTGCATTCTCCTGAAAAAAAGAAAAAAAGCAATAAATGTACAATGAAAACTAATTACTGGTAAAACAGTTGTTGAAAAACAATTATTGGACATCATAATTAACTACCACATTATTTAAGACTACATGGAAAATTTTCCTTGAATAGTGTACATTTTTAATTAAATGAGTTGTCACTATGTATGAACAATTGTGCATGTAGGAAACATGATGTTGAACATCACACACATGCAATAACCAATTTTGGGGATGTCACATTTGAGAACTGCCAATTAAAAATTAATATATGTGATATGATTGTCAATGAAGCAAATAATCATCAGAAACCAAAGGACGAGGGCGTACAAAACTACAGATGACAGTCAGTGTATAGCCTTCAACAATGATTAAGTCCCAAACCATATAGTGGGCTAATGAAGGTCTCAACAAAATGTGAAACAATTCAAAAGAGAAAACCAATGTCCTTATTTATGAAATCCTGATCCCCTCAAAAATGTATTTCTTTGGAAAATTAAATGACATTGTTCATGAAATATTTATGAAAATGCTATATATATTAATTATATATATACATGTAGCTAGAATATCTGTGCTACACATTTTGTTGATTTCTGTGTTTATAATTTATTTTACATGTAATATATGTGTTGCAAGCTTTTTTAATTCAAAATTGTATTTTTCTTGTTAAGCCATCAATATTTACATTCAAATGAATGTCTGTAAACACCTGGTACTGCTAATTTAAACCAGAATCGTATGGTTCACAAAATATATGTATTAAAGTAACTTAAATGAGGGAAAAAATTAAAGAAATTCCTACAATCAATAATACTGTTGGATACATATATGGACTTCTATCCTTTTGAGTTTTATAATGAACATTTTATTATTTTTTACCAGTACCTTATATCACAATGTTGTGACATCATCCATTTGACAGCCTCCTGTCTAATTTGTTGATGTACTGTAGGTACCCTCAAAACATTTTGTTTTGTTGGAATATGACCTGAAATTGTTGATATGTCTCATAACTGTAAACAATGATGGGTCCAGTTTGAACTTTTGACATTATTTACAGAATTAAACCTATATCAAACAAAATAATCTGTACTTCTAGTATTTGACCCCAGAATGACCTCACACCTTGATTGAAAAAAAAAAAAATCAAACAGCTGTAATTACATGCAACTTTAAATTTGAGTCTGGGAAAACACAGTTTAATATATTATTTGTAATTGGCTTTGAACTAGCTTCCAGTAATTATGTGCAAGTACTCTTAGAATAGATCAATACTTTGGGTCTTTTGTCTTTTTGTTACATATTTTTGTGCTTAGTGTTGATCTGCTGAGTCAAGCCCTTTGATTCTTACTGTTTGTTCTTCTGTTGTGCTGTTACACCACTGTCTCTGGTCAGAGAGAGGTTTGAGTGCTAACAAACATGATAGAAACCCTGCCACATTTTTTCATATGTCTGTCCCGAGTCAGGAGCCTGTAAATCAGTGGTTGTTGTTGGTTATTGTATCTGGTATTTGTTTTAATTTATTGTTTTAGCATAAAAATTATCAATCAGGTCTTTAATTGGTTATCATTGTTTTAATTTTTTCACATTTTATCATGCTGGGGACTTTTATAGCTGACTATACATGGTGTACATTATTGTTGATGGTTGGTCTGTGTCAATTAGTTGTCTCATAGTGGTCATTAGCAATCATACCACATTCCCTTATTTTTTATATAAGGAACATCTATCCATATGTTTCTGGACAACAATCATGACAATATATGATGTAAGAGACACTTCGAAAATCAACAAAAATTCAAAAGGACCCATTAAGTTCAACACTAACAGCTGAGATGTGACACATTTTACTTTAAAATATGCAAATGTTTATTCAATTAACATAAATTTTTCCTCTGTGAAAATTAAATTCTTAAATTTGTTTTTTTCTTCCGTAAACATATGTGTACAATGTACATGTACATGTACTTGTATATTGCACATAGTGATACAAACATACAAAATGTGTGAATTAAAAACTGATTATGTGATAATAGAAAAGGAAGTGTTATAATAACCATTTAATGGGGGAACTAGCATGATTAACACAGCTTGTCATGTCTATTGTGACATAACATTGTGTCTAAATCTTATATAACCTATATCTAACTGGAATATAAAGTTTGTGTAATGTTTTAACATCCATTTAAACGGGAAACTGTAGCCTTCTAGAAACATGAGAAACTTGAATATAAAGTATTAAAGTTTGTGTAATGTTTAAACCTCTATTTCAACAGGGAAACCAAAGCCTTCTAGAAACTGGTACACTAACACCTATTATGTTTCATTTAAATATCATATGTAAAGCTTTGTGTCTTTCCAAAAGTTCACATAATTTGATATAAATTTATAGAAATAAACATTTGAAAACTATTACAATCTAAAAGAACACTTGATCATGAGCATGTGTTGAGTTTTGAATTTTAGTACAAATATTTGTAGGGTTTATATTGCTCAGTATTTATTTTTGGACTGTTCTCCAGTTTTCTTTTCTTCATAGTGTTGTCAATTCATCTTTGACTTATAATTTTCTATTGCCAACATGGTATCATCTTACTTTTTTAACATTCAATAATTCATAAGAACATTTAGCTCTGAAAAATGGAAGTAATTCTAGGGCAAAGAACACAAAATGAAGGAGGTATTTTATTTATTTATCATTTTAAAAGAAAAATCAATTGTAGAAATGAAACCTGTGCTAACATGGCTAAAGTCCAGTGTTCATTTATAAAACTACTCATGTCCTCAGTTTTTAACTTGAACACTGTACAATATTTTCAGACCCTATTGATGCATGATTGCTTATCTTTTATTCTAATTTTTGTTTCTAGAACTGGTAACTTCAGTTTGAAATCATCCTAATGTATAATCTATTCAAGAAATATGTACAATAAGTAATTGATAAATAATAATAATTAAATGTTAACTGTCTTTGCAAGCAAATTAAAAAAAAAATCTATAATTTGATTTTCTCCATTTTTCTTGTGTGATTTTTCCGCTTCAAACAATAATTGTTTGACGTACATTTTGTACATCAATGAGACAGGAACCATAACAACAAAAAGCCCCAAAATAACTAGAGGTCAACAAAGTCTTCCAACAGCAGACAGGTATACAATATAAAATTGAGGAAAGCAATATAAATTTAACAACCAGGGGTAAACAAGATTTCAATTTGTCATATATATTAATAAAAGAAGAATGTTTCTGAGGACACGAATGCCCCTGCTCAACATAAAAAAAGGGGGGGGGGCATAAAAACCAAAAAGACCACTGATCACCTTCTACTTTCCCTCTATCTCCATAGTATTAAAACTAGCAGTAGCTTTGGACTACATGTACATATATTTGTATATACTGTAAAATACATGTACATGTGTATATAACAAAATACATGTACCATATTATTACATTATTAACCCTGAAGCAATATAGTCCAAATAATTATGACGTCTTGAAAGGCTATATACATAGACTTCCAAAATGGGATACATTGTACACCTGTGGATTCTAGAGAACTTAACCTGTGATAAAGGAGATATCTTCATTTAATTTCACACCTTTTTGAACAAAATAAAAAAAGTGTTTTAAGACACTGGAATTTGGGGAAGGTCTATTACATGTAACAGGACACACAGATTTTTTTTAACTTAATAATTTCTAATTTTTGAAAACTTTACAAATCATGCAAATAATGAAAGTTAATATCCTGTTCTTTATTACACAGTTTGATGTTGGACAATATGTTGAGTAAAACAAAAGTTTCATCCTATCAAAAATAACTGAGGGAGTGGATGGGGGTTTACAGAATAGAGAATAATGGGCAAAAAAATATAAAGAATAGAGAAAAATGGACAAAAAACATAAAGGATAGAGAATAATGAGATTCTAAAATATAAAGAATAGAGAATAATGGGCAAAAGTATGAAGAAAAATGGCCTAAAAATTAAAGAATACAGATATGAAGGACCCCCCCCCCCCCCAATTCAGACCCCCATAACTGTCCTGGTTTTGTCAGACCTGTTTTTAGACCTTCCACCTGGAATTGCTCTTTCACTCAAATCAATCAATCCCTTCCATTTCACAGTTGAATGTCTCATGTGCAGTGGTGCAGCCACTAGAAAATAAATAATTGTAATCAGGGGGTCTAGGGGGGAGGGCAGCAACCCCACCCCAAGCTGAACAATTATAGTAAAATTCAAATTGAAAATAAAAATTTTATATAAAATTATTTGTAAGGCTACACTGGTTCCACACCACTGAGTTAAGATATCTTTATTCACAGGAAACTTGAAGTCACTGTGAATGAAATGTGCAATAAGTGGGTCATACTATATAAGTTGTATAATAAAGGTGAGATTACTCTCAGAATTAGGTCACCTCAATGGTCAGAACTGCAATAATTAATTAACTGACCACAACCAACATATGGTAGATTTGTTGAATACCTACAAGGGATTGAGTTTTATACTTACCTAAACAACAACCACATAACAAACAACAAGAAACTATAGCACCAGCGCTAGCTCCAGCAAAAATTCCATTTTCCACAAGTTGAGGGGCATGCTGTCGCAGACAACTCGCTACTCCCACATGATAAATCCCTAGAAATCCACAGCCTGCAAACGAAAAATTCATGCTATAAAGGCAATAACAGTAGGCCTTTTACTTCCCCATTTTGGTCTTTATTATTAAATGTGTCAGATTTTTCTGATCTCTGTTCTAGTTTGGCTATGTGATGTGTCAATGTTTGTTGATATATGACGTAGAAGCGAGCCCCCAAAATGGAACGATTTGATTGGGTTATTCTAATCCTGAGATTAATTCTATATCATTTAAACGTTTAATGGCAATCTGTCACTAGAATAATGAAAATATTTAAAATGTATCATTAGACCGTTTAAATAAATAAATTTCTAAGACATTTATCATTAACAGTTGTTTGATTGTGCTGCACTTGGAAAATCATACAAGAAAGGCATAAGGTTTTTGATGTTATTTAACCCGGATATAATATTGATATCCGTTTTTGACTTCGTTCTTTATAAAACCACCTGCATGGAAAAAGGAAATTATGAATGGTATGCCTATTATAGTTGTGTTAAGCTGGTATCTATTATACCCTAAATGACAGCAAACTGAAATAACTGATTCAAAGTACAATCGTCTGTCCATGATGTAGTAATTTTACTCGTTGTCACTGTCCTTCGTTGATATGCATGAAATATTTTGCAACTTGGTGCTGATCTAGAATATATGAGGGTAGGAATGGGGTTCCCAACATGACGAATGACGGTAAAATCTTTGTTAAAATAACGTTAACGATAATTATTTTACTGCATTTGACACTAATGGTAGCTACAAAATGAGATATGGCAATAGAATAGAATAGAATAGAATATTTTTATTTCCCAAATTACAGGGCCCATAAAAATTATGGCTCATTTGACGCTAAAGGTAGCGAAAAACGGACGTTTAACTACAAGTCCAAAAAAATAAATATGTCTGTTTACGGTTACTTGACCGATTCATTTTTGAGCGCCGACCTTATTTTCGTTGTAAAGTGAAAAATTAATAGAACTCGTGTCAAAAGCGAAGTTTAAGGGTTGCCAATAAAAGAAATCAATTGCCTGATACATCCTATAATGTTCGCAATTGTGAATATGACATTGACAGCTGTTTTAAGGAAATTCACGACTCGTGTGATGAAATAAAACTTTGGCACCATTTTAACAAAGGGAAATAATCCAATATTAAAAATACGGGTAAACTCGACCCATGGACAACTACGGCAAGACGGACTGCAAGACTCATAATCATGTCGCAAAATAGAATGAAAAAATAAAATAAAATGGAAATACTGACCTACCTACCCATTTTTTTTTTATGATGTAACCTTAAACAGACATATATTTTTTTTTGGCCTAATTTAGTAAAGCATTTTGCTAGAACTGGTATTAGAAAAAACTTTTTTGTCAAATCGAGAAGTGAACTCTTGGAACTCGCTTCCCATCTCTTACTGTTGCTGCACCTACTTTGGACATGTTCAAAAAACAATTAAGTCGATCCCTACCTGAAGGCTGAAGGGATAAATCATCAAAGTAACCATATCTACGACAACAAAATTACCATCAGTCACCAACTCAATTTGAATAAGTATTTAATGAATAAGTTTTATTTAGATTTGATATTGTTTAGAAAATAAAGACATTAAAATATTCAAAGCTCAACCTAACTTTTAATCGACTTCAGATAAACCTCCACAAATGACAGAAATTAAGACACAAGTAAAGCAGTATACAATTCTCTTAATGCCCTTTAGTCGTATGCTGTCTCATTTACACATACCTTACATTTCTTTTTGTCATATTTGATCTATAGATTATAATACAGTAGGAACAAAAAATGCTTGCAATCACTGAAAGCAAATCCAAAGCCTTTTAAATCTGTTGATAATTAAGCATGCTTACATCATGTACATTCTAATATTGGCTGCTGTACATACTTTGAGTAGATTTCATATCATTATGCTAGTGTAGAAAGGCACAATTTTTTGCAATGCTCAATTTGATTTTGAAAAAGGAAATCAATACCGGAAAGAAAGAAATAAAAATGTATAACTATGTCTATAATGAGTATGAATAAGCAAATCATAGTATACTAATGGAAAATTCAACAGGCAATGATTTAGCAACACAGTTTAATTTTTACATTTATCAACAAGTTTTATTATAATACCCCATGCAACGAGTTGCTGAGGGTATAATGTTTTTGACCCGTCCGTCCATCTGTCCGTCTGTCCGTCCATCTGTCCGTCTGTCCATCCGTCAGTCCGTCAGTCCTGTTTCTTGTCATCGGAACTCCTCTCAAACCACACAACAGAATTTCACGAAACCTTTTGAAATAATAAGGACATACTATGTAGTTGTGCATATGGACATGAAGTTACGATTCAATTTTTTTTCTAGGAGTTACGCCCCTTTGAACTTATTTACCTTAATGTACTACTGCAACAGTTTGTCATCTCAACTCCTCTGAAACCACACAATAAAATTTCATGAAACTTTTAAGATTATAAGGACATACTACGTAGATGTGCATATTGACAGGAAATTACGATTCAATTTTTTTTCTAGGAGTTACGCCCCTTTGAACTTATTTACCTTAATGTACTACTGCAACAGTTTGTCATCTCAACTCCTCTGAAACAACACAATAAAATTTCATGAAACTTTTAAGATTATAAGGGCATACTACGTAGATGTGCATATCGACAGGAAATTACGATTCAATTTTTTTTCCAGGAGTTACGCCCCTTTGAACTTATTGGCCCAATATACTACTGCAACCTTTTGTCATCGCAACTCCTCTCAAACCACACAACAGAATTTCATGAAACCTTTTCAGATAATAAGGACATACTACGTAGATATGCATATCGACAGGAAATTACGATTCAATTTTTTTTCTAGGTGTTACGCCCCTTTGAACTTATTTGCTTCAATATACCTCTGCAACAGTTTGTCATCGCAACTCCTCTGAAACCACACAACAGAATTTCCTGAAACTTTGTAGATAATAAGGACACACTATGTAGATGTGCATATCGACCGGAAATTATGATTCAATTTTTTTTTCTTAATAAAGAAGATGTGGTATGATTGCCAATGAGACAACTCTCCACAAGAAACCAAATGACACAGAAATTAACAACTATAGGTCACAGTACAGCCTTCAACAATGAGCAAAGCCCATACCGCATAGTCAGCTATAAAAGGCACCGAAATGACAAATGACAAATGTACAAGGTTACTTTGTACATATACTGTTGAAATACAATTGTATAGTAGCTACTAATTTTTCTTTCCACTTTTGCTCTTAAACAGTAAAAAAGCTCTGCCCAGTTAGAAATACAATTTACAATGAGCAGTGATAAATGATGAAACTATTATAAAAGATTACTGTGTTTTATAGAGGAAGATACACCAAGCTCACCGAGCTGTAACCGTAATCCTTCACCACCTCCACATTTACAAGAACAGATTGAATCATTAGAGGCAGACAGGATTGGCAACACGACCTTCAGTAAACACTGGCTCTTCACTACTTTGATGAAATTGATTGAGGTATGTATAAAAAAAAATCATTATTATTATTATTGGTAAGCTGATTGAAAATAAAATCAATGTAAGTTGTACTGATAAAGACAATATTCAAAGTTTTGATACAATACCAAAATGTGGAATTGATTAAGTTTGAGGTAAAGTTTATACAAAGGATAGATAAGTTTATGTGAATAGTACTTAATTTACAAGCTATATAAACAACATCATGATAAAAATTAGGATATACTGTTTTCATTGTCTCACTTTTTTGTTGCAGTATGCGAGACATAGGGATTACTATCCGGTGGCAGCGTAAACTATTTGTATTTATATTTCAGAAGGTAGAAGACCAGTGGATACTTCATACCTTGTATGCAGATACCTTATCTTACGAAGTTTCTGTCTGTCATATGTCCATTGTCCCTGACCTCATTTTCATGGTTGAGTGACTGCTTTAAAAAAAAATGATCGTTTTTTTGTCATGTGAATTTCTCATTTTATATTATGAGTACCGGTAATAGGATAACTATATTTGGTATATGGGTTCCTGGCAATGTCTACATGTCCATCAGACAGGGTTCACCTGACCTCAACCTCATTTCATCATGACATGGATCAGTGATCAAGGTTAAAGTTATGTGATTAGGTCTAATTCTAGTTAAACATATTTTATTTGCTTAAATATGCAAAAGGGATGAGACACAATCAATTTTCTGTTTCTCAAATACTATAAGCAGAAGGTCAACTATATCATGTATATGTGGTGTATGGAATGATTGTAAGGAATACATGTCAGTCTGTCAGGTTTCATTTGACCTTGACCTCATTTTCATGGTTCATTGGTCAATGTTAAGTTTTATGTTTTGGTCTGTTTTTCAAGTACTTTAAACAATAGGTCAGCTATTTTGGTGTATAGAATAATTGTAAGGTGTACATGTTTGTCTGGCAGGATTTATTTGACCTTGACCTCATTATCATAGATCTTTAAAAATGTAAGTTTATGTGATACTTTTAGTAAAACCTTTATCTTTAAGACTTTCAACATAAAATCAATGGTCATTAAAGCAGGCAAGACATGTCAGCATGTGTACTCTTGTTAAGATTCATACCAGTACACCCACAATTTCAAACCTGTGTCTGTTGTGAAGTTTTAGATCTCAACTATTGTAATTTATGTAAAATTGATAAATTATTAAGTCAGGGATTCTGTTACCACAAATTAATTAAATCTTTTTCTAAATTCGTTCATAGATACAAAGATTTACAAATTTTACATAGATTAGGAGAGTTCAAATCTAATACATCACTACAGACACTGGCAAAATGAACATGATGAACGAGTTGGGAAATATTCAATATTTAAGAAGGGTCAAAGGAACAAAAAAAACACAGTCCAAAAAAAAGGAAAATTAACAATGGGGAATTATGAAAAATTATCTCTTTTGTTGTAAATTTTAGTATAAAATATATTCCCATTTTTATGCAACTAATATATCCAAACCAAGAAAAGAACAATAATTGCTGTTCCTATTAGATCTTTATATTTAGCATTTTGCATATATAAACTATTTAAACCTGTAGATGATGCTTTTGAAAATAACATGCAAAAGGGCATATGCACATGTCAAGGGAAATTTGAAGTTTTTTAATGATTAATTGGTTCCTCCTAAAAGATAATCTTTGTAGTACTGATATCTAAGATGATTTTGCTTAAGAAATTTACTCACTTGGAAGTATAAAGGCAATGCTAAGTTATTTATTTGTTAAACAGGAAGTAGAGAAGGAAGATCAGTCAGAGTTTGGTGTGGATGTGGATGAGGAATTGCAGAATGAACTCTGTAAACTCTGGGACATGTCAATGAATACAGTAAGATAACTTTGATATTTAAGGAGATATGGGGTATACATCAATCAGACAAGCAACCCAACATCACAAAAAAATAGAAGACAAAGTAATTTGATTAGCATCAAAATTTGAAAGTCAATATTTCTATATAAACTTTTTTTTATCTCCTCACTTAGTTTTGTGTATCATATTTTTATTTTTCAATGGATGTGTTGTTTCTGTTGGTATAGTCTGGTCTATTCTTTATGGTAAGAAATTGCCTGTGTTTTAATTTCAGACTTTCCATGTTCAGTTATCTTATAGGGTTAAAGACTACATATACATAAAAAGTAAAATCACAAAAATACTGAACTCCGAGGAAAATTCAATCGGAAAGTCCCTAATCACATGGCAAAATCAAATGAAAAAACACATCAAATGAATGGACAACAACTGTCTATATATGTTTATATATGTTCAGTTATCTAATAGAGTTAGAGATTACATATACAAAGCGTGTCTATATGTTCAGTTATCTTATAGTGTTAGAGACTACATATACACAGTGTTTATATATGTTCAGTTATCTAATAAAGTTAGAGACTACATATTCAAAGTGTTTATATATGTTCAGTTATATAATAGGGTTAGAAACTACATATACAAACTGTTTATAAGTTTGATCATACTGTATATTTGGTTAGTTTGGTTGTAGTTTTAATTTGGTTTATTTGGAAACTCCCCATTGATGCCATTGAAAGTGTCAAATATAAATAAAATGGAAAATGAAGCAAAAATGATTGAAACTGTAATTAAACCCTGTTTATTTATATTTTGAGCTTTGGTGTTTGTTTTATAAACTAGAAGATACCTGCAAATTAATATTGATTAACCTGATTAATTATGAGCTTGGAGTTTGTTATACAAAAGGTGATATCTATTCACTTGTCAAATTATTACACTGTGTCAAGGTTAATTGGACACTGTTCTCAGATGATGGGTTAAAAAAAATGACAGTCGTCAGTTTGAACTTTGAATTGTATGAAGTAAAGATAGCACGTATATTTTTTTTAGTCCCAGGATTTCAAAATTCCTACTTTACTTTGATAGGCATCAGAGTTAAACACACCACCATATAGCATCCAACACACCACCATATAGCATCCAACACACCATCATATAGCATCCAACACACCACCATATAGCATCCAACACACCACCATATAGCATCCAACACACCACCATATAGCATCCAACACACCACCATATAGCATCCAACACACCACCATATAGCATCCACAGAAAATCATCAAAATACAGGCATCACAGTTAAACACACCACCATATAGCATCCACAGAAAATCATCAAAATACAGGCATCACAGTTAAACACACCACCATATAGTGATGATATAGCATCCACAGAAAATCATCAAAATACAGGCATCACAGTTAAACACACCACCATATAGCATCCACAGAAAATCATCAAAATACAGGCATCACAGTTAAACACACCACCATATAGCATCCACAGAAAATCATCAAAATACAGGCATCACAGTTAAACACACCACCATATAGGCCATATAGCATCCACAGAAAATCATCAAAATACAGGCATCACAGTTAAACACACCACCATATAGCATCCACAGAAAATCATCAAAATACAGGCATCACAGTTAAACACACCACCATATAGGCCATATAGCATCCACAGAAAATCATCAAAATACAGGCATCACAGTTAAACACACCACCATATAGCATCCACAGAAAATCATCAAAATACAGGCATCACAGTTAAACACACCACCATATAGGCCATATAGCATCCACAGAAAATCATCAAAATACAGGCATCACAGTTAAACACACCACCATATAGCATCCACAGAAAATCATCAAAATACAGGCATCACAGTTAAACACACCACCATATAGGCCATATAGCATCCACAGAAAATCATCAAAATACAGGCATCACAGTTAAACACACCACCATATAGCATCCACAGAAAATCATCAAAATACAGGCATCACAGTTAAACACACCACCATATAGCATCCACAGAAAATCATCAAAATACAGGCATCACAGTTAAACACACCACCATATAGCATCCACAGAAAATCATCAAAATACAGGCATCACAGTTAAACACACCACCATATAGCATCCACAGAAAATCATCAAAATACAGGCATCACAGTTAAACACACCACCATATAGCATCCACAGAAAATCATCAAAATACAGGCATCACAGTTAAACACACCACCATATAGGCCATATAGCATCCACAGAAAATCATCAAAATACAGGCATCACAGTTAAACACACCACCATATAGCATCCACAGAAAATCATCAAAATACAGGCATCACAGTTAAACACACCACCATATAGCATCCACAGAAAATCATCAAAATACAGGCATCACAGTTAAACACACCACCATATAGCATCCACAGAAAATCATCAAAATACAGGCATCACAGTTAAACACACCACCATATAGCATCCACAGAAAATCATCCAAAATACAGGCATCACAGTTAAACACACCACCATATAGCATCCACAGAAAATCATCAAAATACAGGCTTCACAGTTAAACACACCACCATATAGCATCCACAGAAAATCATCAAAATACAGGCATCACAGTTAAACACACCACCATATAGCATCCACAGAAAATCATCAAAATACAGGCATCACAGTTAAACACACCACCATATAGCATCCACAGAAAATCATCAAAATACAGGCATCACAGTTAAACACACCACCATATAGCATCCACAGAAAATCATCAAAATACAGGCATCACAGTTAAACACACCACCATATAGGCCATATAGCATCCACAGAAAATCATCAAAATACAGGCATCACAGTTAAACACACCACCATATAGCATCCACAGAAAATCATCAAAATACAGGCATCACAGTTAAACACACCACCATATAGCATCCACAGAAAATCATCAAAATACAGGCATCACAGTTAAACACACCACCATATAGCATCCACAGAAAATCATCAAAATACAGGCATCACAGTTAAACACACCACCATATAGCATCCACAGAAAATCATCAAAATACAGGCATCACAGTTAAACATACCACCATATAGCATCCACAGAAAATCATCTAAATACAGGCATCACAGTTAAACATACCACCATATAGCATCCACAGAAAATCATCTAAATACAGGCATCACAGTTAAACACACCACCATATAGCATCCACAGAAAATCAAGGCATCACAGTTAAACATACCACCATATAGCATCCACAGAAAATCAAGGCATCACAGTTAAACACACCACCATATAGCATCCACAGAAAATCATCTAAATACAGGCATCACAGTTAAACACACCACCATATAGCATCCACAGAAAATCAAGGCATCACAGTTAAACATACCACCATATAGTATCCACAGAAAATCATCAAAATTTACCAACATCAAAATTTACCAATTACTGAGGGTTATATAAGAGATATTCAATTCTGCTAATGTCAATATAGATTTTCAGTTTTCCTGTACATTTATATCAAAAACTTTTTACTTTTCCAGGCCATGAGAGATTATTAGATTTTTGTCTTGCATTTACTCTATTCAGATTTTGGTCTTGGATTTACTTCTTTGTATCTTTGTACTTCTTTTGCAAAAAAGTTTTACTCAATACTTTTAGGAGTCCATGTTTATGTAATTTGATATTATGAAAAAAATATTTGTTCAATGTTGAAAGTCCATATTGATATGATCTTTTTCAACTTTTGAATTTTTGGTATCTTCTATTTTTTTGTTATCATTGTTTACTGTATCAACATAATATTTAGAACATTTACTGTCAGAGATATCAATGGTGTTGTTTGCAGAAAGTTATCACAATTATTATGAAAATGATATTTAGCAATTTTATTTAATTGACTCTTTTTTAATTCATTTAGCAAATTATCCAAATCAAATGAATTAAAAATCAATTCGAAGAGAAGCTCTAAAATTATGAGGTTCTTTTTGAAAAGCTACTAATTATATTTCTATGACTATTTGGTATTTTCCTTTTATCATAATATATTTTTATGACTATTTGGTATTTTCCTTTTATCATATTATATTCCTATGTTTATTTGGTATTATATCCTTTTATCATGTTTCTTTCTAGGATGTAGCTAAGTTTTTAGAAAAATTCAAAGCAGTTGATATTTTAACTGGTGTAATACAACGGTCCAAGGCACCACGTGTAACTGTGAGTACTTTGATGTAATTATGTGGAACATTTAATGTGCTTATCTTCAGCAATCTGTGTACTTTTTGTGTAATGTATCCTGGTACATATGCCACACATTTGTGAAGAATGGTAGATTTAATATCTCTTATCATACATCAAGTCATAGGTGTCAGCTTTTAAAGCCTCCAAAGGATGAGATCTCCCCCAACAGAAGTGTTTTGGTGTGAGATTTACTGTAGCACAGTGTAATAACAACAAAAATCTATGTTACAAACATGATTTTGTGGTTATTTTCAATTTGAAGTTTAGTTAAATATTTGGTTATTGTATATAACTTCAACTTATTTAACAGCTTTTAACACACTTTAGGATATTTATAGCAATAAGCAAGGCACACTTGTGTGTTGTTTGCAATATATTAATGAGCGAATTGTATCATTGCCAAGTTCACTTCTAAATTCAAATTGAATTTTTTATAACATTGAAAATAACCTTTCTTCTTCTACATTACTGACTAATAACATTAAGGCAAGTTTTTGCTAATTTTGACAGAATGGGAAATCATTTGGATTAACAAAAAAGAAGTTTCTGTCCATTTGAAATTGAAAACTTTTTTCTGTTCTGGGGAAAATTTACATAAATGTTTTTTTCCTTTTTTTTTGTCCCCTCTGATCCTTAAACGACTCCTTTTTGGCTATGAATGTGAACAGCTTGGTCCAGCTGGTGAACAAAAATTCATGACTTACAATAAGGTAAACTGCAAGGCCTTTCGAGTGAAATGGTGACAATTTCCCAATATTTTTATTATACATCGGTCAAGAATGGCAAATTCTCAAGGGTAGACATTTATTTATTGATATGAATAAGAATGAAGTCTATATAAAAATAAGGAGATGTTGTATGATTGCAAGTTAGACAACTATCCACCAAAGTTCAAATGAAGTGGATGTAAGCAAATATAGGCAACCTTACGGCCTTCAACAATGAAAAAAAACCCATACAGTATAATAGGCAATAAAAGGCCCCAACATGAAAAATATTTTATAACAAAACAATCTTCAAAAAACAAATATAACAACGACAACCACTGAAATAAAGGCTCCTGGCTTGGGGATAGGCACATAAAGAATGTGGCGGAGTTAAACATGTTTGTGAGCATTCAGCCCTCCCCTAACCTGGTGGTGTTACAGCACAACATAAAAACAAACTATAAAAATCAGTTGGAATGAGCTTACAAAGCAGAAAAACATCGAAGAAAAAAACAGACCTGATGTGGCAGGGTATTTATCCATCCCTAATAAAAAAAAAAGACACAAAGTACAGATCTGAGAGTACTTGCAGTTACTGACAGCTAGTTCAAAGCCAATAACAACTAATAAAAAAAATCATGTATCTAAGACTATAATATCAATCAGTACACATCCAACATCCAATGGATTTAGTGTAAAGATGTTAATAATTGTCAGAGAAAAACATGATCTTGTGCAATGCCAAAATATAGGTATCGACAGACTAGTACTGTGAATGTGTATATGTTTTTTTTTCAGTTTGATTATGTTTTAAGTTTGTCTTCCCTTTGAGATATGCCTCACCATGAGTTACTTATTTTACAGGAAATATGTGTTGGTATCCTTGGAAATATGGCATGTGATTCAGATATATGTGAAAGTTTATCAAAGAACCAACAACTTCTGTAAGTGTTTGTACATATGTACATTATAAATGAATATCTACATTACAACAGTTCATAAACATATATAAAATATACCTGAAGAAGTGATTTTTATATTAAAAAAAGAATGTATAATTTTCGGTTTAATTGTGTGGGTTTGACTAGTTAGTGACTTTTCATTTATCTCTTGCCTAGAAAGCGAAGCATAGTTATCCTAGATTCCTTTGGCAGCAGCGGCAGTGTCGTCAACATTGAAGTTCTGTCTGTGGTTAATTTTTTTTTAGACATCAAACAACTTTGTTAAACCTTCATGGAAAAATTTGGACAAAATGACTATTAAAAACACAGTTTTTAGAGCAAAATTTTGAAAATATTTATTTTCATTTTTCTTTATTTTACTGATAAATGTACTTAGCTTTTTTTATTGTTAACAATCAGATGCAGTCTAGGGTTTAAAGTTTTTCAGTCATCAATAACTTTGTCAAACCTACATGGTATTTTATGAAAATGGACTTAGTTTTTTAGCTCACCTCATCAAAGATTCAAGTGAGTTTTTCTCATCACTTAGTGTCCCTCATCCTTCGTTGACATCTGTTTACTTTTACCAAAAAACTTCTTCTCTAAAATTACTTGGCCAAATTTAATCAAACTTGGCCACAGTCATCATTAGGTAATTTAGTTTAAAAAATGTGTTCGGTGACCCCATACAACTCATACAATATTCAAGTTTGCAGTCGCTACTCAGACTTTGTAAAATGTCATCGGTGTCTCAGCAAAAAATTAATGAGCCAGAAGTTATTGCTCTTTTATGACAAATACCTAACACATCTACAGATCACTCTACACTTTCTATGATAAACAAATAGCTAACACATCTGCAGATCACTCTACACTTTTAACTCTTCACATTTTAATGTCAGCCTATACTTTCAACAATTGACAAAACAGGGGTGGATCCAGCCATTTTTAAAAGGGAGGTTCCAACCCAGGATAAAGGGGGGGGAGTAGTTCCAACCATATGTCCCCATTCAAAAACATTGATCGTCAAAAAAAGGGGGTTTCAACCCCTAGAACCCCCCCCCTTGATCTGCCACTGCAAAAAATACAATTTCATGTTTCGCTACACTCAACAAGGTTCAAATTGATTAGGGTGAATAACATTCAACTGTTAAACCAATATGACACCAGGCAATAACCAACTCCTGTACTACAAACTATGGACATACATTATACAAATGTAATAGGATTAGAATGTTTTTAAGCTTTTAACCATCAACAAAATAAACAACAAAAAGTAAGTAACAATTGACATGGACTAAACCTATTAGATTTGGACTTAGGATTACAACTTTAAAGAAATTACTAGAGACAGGAAGTGTCAACTTTAGAGAATTGACAGTTACAGACAGCGAGTTCAGAGTCCCAAGTTGAGAAGATGACTAGATCACGTTTTCCTTGGCTTAGATGTCATTGCACCTCTGAATCAAAGTACATTGTACTGACATTTGAATATGATCGCTTGGAAAAATCATAAAAAATCATGGGTCAGACATTGGCCTTATACTGTCTTGTACTCTCATAGTTCATGGCTACATCAGATTTATCATGTTATATATAAATGTACTTTACATATCATGTGTGTATATTGTGAAAGTACATTGATGCATAATAGTACTTGATATGATGTATTATTTTACATCAGTTGTATATAAATCAGTTTTCATAGAGAATTCAAGATATTTATATTAAATAGATAATTTATGCAATCCATAGATTTGTTACAAAATTTCACATGGCCTGGGCTTTTATATTAAAATTTATTCCAAGCTTTAGATCAAAAGAAAGCCACAGATATAATTTGGAGAGCTAAAAAACCACAAAAGGACCTAAACTAAACAACCCAAAATGCTGAGGTCAAATATTCCTGAACTAGTTGTAACCTAAAATAGAATGTTATTTTTTTTATTTTAACATATTAAACATGTTAAAAAAATAATTTGATTTGTTTAAAAAATATTCAGACTTTTATTTACAATCACAACATCTTTGTTTATACACCATTCTGTCTGAATTCAGTAAAAAAAATTAAAAAGAAAAATATTAAAATGTAATTGTCTGGAAACCATAACATAGAAATTATATATATGACATGGTTAAATATTCATACTGATATACAGTTAGTACTTTTATACAGGTATTGTCAAGGACTTAGTTTTAGTTTGTAAAATGAAACAAGATCATTGACCGAACAACACAAAAAACTTTATCTGATAATGATTTATTATATTTGAATGAGGTTAGATTTTTATTGATTAACAAATAAACTTTGTAGCCGTCATAGAGATTGGCTAGTATTCAAATGAGGAATATATCATCTGGATATTGGTACATATTATCATACACATATTTCGTAGTCACTTTGTCTGTCTGTCCATTCGTCCAACAGTACTTTTGTGATTTTTTTCTCAGGTACTTTTAAACATAATGACTTCATATTTGGTCAGTAAATAGCTTGACAGTGATGAGTTGTAATGTGTGAACACCTTTTGGATCTGTCAAACACATACATCCTGTTTGTTGAGAATTTAAATTTTTTAATAGTTTGAATGATCTAATATTTTCATCTCCCCTTTTTAGCTCACCTGACCTGAAAGGTCAAGTGAGCTTTTCTCATCACTTTGCGTCCGTCGTCCGTCGTCCGTCGTCCGTCGTCCGTAAACTTTTACAAAAATCTTCTCCTCTGAAACTACTGGGCCAAATTTGACCAAACTTGGCCACAATCATCATTGGGGTATCTAGTTTAAAAAATGTGTCCGGTGACCCGGCCAACCAACCAAGATGGCCGCCATGGCTTAAAATAGAACATAGGGGTAAAATGTAGATTTTGGCTTATATCTCTGAAACCAAAGCATTTAGAGCAAATCTGACATGGGGTAAAATTGTTTATTAGGTCAAGATCTGTCTGCTCTGAAATTTTCAGATGAATCGGACAACCTGTTGTTGGGTTGCTGCCCCTGAATTGGTAATTTTAAGGAAATTTTGCTGTTTTTGGTTATCATCTTGAATATTATTATAGATAGAGATAAACTGTAAACAGCAATAATGTTCAGCAAAGTAAGATCTACAAATAAGTCAACTTGACCAAAATGGTCAGTTGACCCCTTAAGGAGTTATTGCCCTTTATAGTCAATTTTTAACCATTTTTCGTAAATTTTTGTAATCTTTTACAAAAATCTTCTCCTCTGAAACTACTAAGACAAATTTAACCAAACTTGTCCACAATCATCATTAGGGTATCTTGTTTAAAAAATGTGTCCGATGACCCCGCCCGTGAACCAAGATGGCCGACATGGCTAAAAAATAGTACATAGGGTAAAATGCAGTTTTTGGCTCATATCTCTGAAACCAAAGCATTTAGAGCAAATCTGATGAGTATAAAATTGTTCATTAGGTCAAGATCTATCTGCCCTGAAATTTTCTTACCAATCAGGCAACCCATTGTTGGGTTGCTGCCCCTGAATTGGTAATTTTAAGGAAATTTTGCTGTTTTTGGTTATCATCTTGAATATTATTATAGATAGAGATAAACTGAAAACAGCAATAATGTTCAGCATAGTAAGATCTACAAATAAGTCAACTTGACCAAAATGGTCAGTTGACCCCTTAAGGAGTTATTGCCCTTTATAGTCAATTTTTAACCATTTTTCGTAAATTTTTGTAATCTTTTACAAAAATCTTCTCCTCTGAAACTACTAAGACAAATTTAACCAAACTTGTCCACAATCATCATTAGGGTATCTCGTTTAAAAAATGTGTCCGATGACCCCGCCCGTGAACCAAGATGGCCGACATGATTAAAAAATAGTACATAGGGTAAAATGCAGTTTTTGGCTCATATCTCTGAAACCAAAGCATTTAGAGCAAATCTGACATGGGGTAAAATTGTTCATTAGGTCAAGATCTATCTGCCCTGAAATTTTCAGACCAATCAGGCAACACATTGTTGGGTTGCTGCCCCTGAATTGGTAATTTTAAGAAAATTTTGCAGCTTTTGGTTATTATCTTGAATATTATTATAGATAGAGATAAACTGTAAACAGCAATAATGTACAGCAAAGTTAGATCTACAAATAAGGCAACATGACCAAAATTGTCAATTGACCCCTTAAGGAGTTATTGCCCTTTATCGTCAATTTTTTACAATTTTCATAAATTTTGTAAATTTTTACAAAGTATTTTCCACTGTAACTACTGGGCCAAGTTCATTATAGATAGAGATAATAGTAAGGAGCAAGAATGTTCAGTAAAGTAAGATCTACAAACACATCACCATCACCAAAACACAATTTTGTCATGAATCCATCTGTGTCCTTTGTTTAATATGCACATAGACCAAGGTGAGCGACACAGGCTCTTTAGAGCCTCTAGTTTCCAGTACTACTTCATATTTGGTCAGCAGTTTGACAGTGATAAGTTGTAAGGTGTGAGGTCAGCAGCTTGACAGTGTTAAGTTGTAATGTGTGAGGTCAGTAGGTTTACAGTGATAAGTTGTAAGGTGTGAGGTCAGCAGCTTGACAGTGATAAGTTGTAAGGTGTGAGGTCAGCAGCTTGACAGTGATAAGTTGTAAGGTGTGAGGTCAGCAGCTTGACAGTGATAAGTTGTAAGGTGTAAGGTCAGCAGCTTGACAGTGATGAGTTGTAAGGTGTGAGGTCAGTAGCTTGACATTGATAAGTTGTAAGGTGTGAGGTCAGTAGCTTGACAGTGATAAGTTGTAAGGTGTGAGGTCAGTAGCTTGACAGTGATAAGTTGTAAGGTGTGAGGTTCAGCAGCTTGACAGTGATAAGTTGTAAGGTGTGAGGTCAGTAGCTTGACAGTGATAAGTTGTAAGGTGTGAGGTCAGTAGCTTGACATTGATAAGTTGTAAGGTGTGAGGTCAGTAGCTTGACAGTGATAAGTTGTAAGGTGTGAGGTCAGTAGCTTGACAGTGATAAGTTGTAAGGTGTGAGGTCATCAGCTTGACAGTGATAAGTTGTAAGGTGTGAGGTCAGTAGCTTGACAGTGATAAGTTGTAAGGTGTGAGGTCAGCAGCATGACAGTGTTAAGTTGTAAGGTGTGAGGTCAGCAGCTTGACAGTGATGAGTTGTAAGGTGTGAGGTCAGCAGCTTGACAGTGTTAAGTTGTAAGGTGTGAGGTCAGCAGCTTGACGGTGATGAGTTGTAAGGTGTGAGGTCAGCAGCTTGACAGTGATGAGTTGTAAGGTGTGAGGTCAGCAGCTTGACAGTGATGAGTTGTAAGGTGTGAGGTCAGCAGCTTGACAGTGATGAGTTGTAAGGTGTTAGGTCAGCAGCTTGACAGTGATGAGTTGTAAGGTGTGAGGTCAGTAGCTTGACAGTGATGAGTTGTAAGGTGTGAGGTCAGTAGCTTGACAGTGATGAGTTGTAAGGTGTGAGGTCAGCAGTTTGACAGTGATAAGTTATAAGGTGTTAGCACTTTTCGTATCTGTCAAACTCCTACTTCTAGTTTGCTGGTTCTTTGAATATTTCAATTTGTTGAATTAACTCTTTATATAGCAGCTTAACAGTGATGACTTGTAATGTGTAAGCCCTTTTTATAGTTTTTACCTACTTCAGCTTTTTCAATTCCTTGAATTACAATAAACTTGTGGGGTTATTAGCACAACAACACATACAACTGTTTGATTCATATATATTTGAAGCAATATTCACAAAAAATCAGCAATTTTGTTCCTTATAAATAACTTCAGTACATAGGAATCAAAAAAGTGGGTTTAGCCATCCAAATATATCACAAAATATTTGTTCCTCATGAGTGTGAAAGATGTACTGGTATTTTGTAATATTTTTAGTAAAATATAGGAAAGTAACTGACAATAAGCTTTAGACATTTCTTTTTACATGTATATATAGAAATAAGAAGATGTGGTATTAATGCAAATGAGACAACTCTCCATCAAAGTCACAATGTGTAAAAAGTAAACAATTATAGGTCAAAGTACGGCCTTCAACACGGAGCCTTGGCTCACACCGAATAGCCAGCTATAAAGGGCCCTAAAATGACTAGTGTAAAACAATTCAAACAGGAAAACCAACAGTCTTATCTATATAAAAAATGAGAAATGAGAAACACTTAAGAACCACTTAAACAAACAACAACCACTGAACAACAGGTTCCCGACTTAGGACAGGTGCAAATAAATGCAATGGGTTTAAACATTTTAACAGGCGCCAACCTTCACCCTAACCTGAAATAGTAGTGTCACATTACAACATAGAAAGATTCACTATAAAATATCAATTGCAATGGCTTAACTCGATCAAAAAGACATATTAACAAAAACAAGTAAACATACACTGAACAGTGAAGATTTATCATATACATTTGTATTTACATTTGGTTGTTTTGGCTGAAAGTATTTAAACTGTTTTCTTCAGCCAAAACAACGAAATGTAAATATATTGAACACCACTAAATCATTTTTTTTCCCTCTAAGAATGTATATCAAAAGACCAAGTCTTAAATATTTAATATACACTTTTGTTTCAAGAAAAACAAAAAAGGGAAAAAACTTTTCTAGCTTTCTTAGATCTATCCTCTGCTTTTGATAAAGTCTGGTCTTTTTTATCTTCTTTGGCAAAATGGTATGCAAGGAAATGCTGGAAAATACTACTTTCTCTTTATGAAAATATAAGTAACAAGGTCATTTTTGGAAATATGAATAGACTGGTTTGATAAAGAAATTGGCCTAAAACAAGGATGTATTTAATCTCCTACATTTTTTTCTATTCTAATGTCTGATCTGGTCTCAATGATAAGAGAAAGGAATCTCGGTATTAATGTAGCGACAGAAGTTATAAGTAGTCTACTTTTCGCAGATGATTTTGTTATACTAGGGAAAACCAAAAAAGAATTACAAATCCTGTTGAATGTTGCCAGTGAATTTGTTTCAAAATGGAACCTAAAGTTTAATGCCAAAAAATCGAAAGTTCTAGTGGTAGGAAAAAGACTTAATGCAAATAAAAACTGGTTTCTAGGGGATGTTTTAATTGATGAAGTAAATGAATATAAATACTTGGGAGTTTAATTCTCAAGAACGTTAAAATTTAATCATCATATCGAGAAATACCTAAAGGAAAACTTTGAAAAAAAATTTATCTAAGTTTAATATTGGCTCTGCTTTGTGGATTTCGGTTATACGTCCATCCATTGCTCATGCTTGTGGCGTATGGTACCCAACGTCAAAATCCAGAAACAAAATGCTAGACAGCTGACAGTGCAAAGTTGCAAAAGTTATAATTTTAAAACTCTAAAATGAACTTTCCAAAATGCTCTGTTTTATCAGAGTTAGGACGGGGGAATCTTTAAAAAATTGTATGGGCCGTCAAAGGATCACATATTTTGCTAGATCAGATTCTTTAATACCTGGTACAAGATATTGCAAACGAAGTTAAAATTATCAAAAAATGAATATTTTAACCATATTAATGGCATATTCCAGTCCACTGGACTAGACCATTATATACAAGGAAAAGTTAATATAAAAATGTTTAATAAGATTTTTGGTATAGAAGCTTTTAAGTCTGAAATCCTTGAAAAGCGAAGCCTTGATATCAAGATTACCGTTCTTTTACGTTACACAAGCACTACAATCATATAAAAAAAAAGTAGATGATTTTTGGACCTCTCGTCTTAAGTTTCTGGCTAGGCCAAACTGTCTTGTATTGAATGCTGTGTTATTCTGCATGAAATTCAAATTTAGTGATACATGTCAAACATGTTGTATTGAAGAATCTGTTTTGCATGTGTTGTTGGAATGCCAGGCATATAATGATATTCGAGAACGTTTCTTTTCTGATTTGCACAATTTCCTTCTCAATGCAGGAACCAACATGTTTTTCTCAGCGTTGCTTCGCTTTAATAAACTTCAATTAATCATTGGCAACATAGCCTTTTTGTTCAGTGATGGTATCGGAAAATGGTTGATGAAATGGGCAAACAATATCTGACCTCAGTCATTAAAGCTAGCAATGAGTTGCTGTATGTTAATGTATAAATCAATTAATATGTATGAAGGTTTGAAAGTGTGCCAAATTTATGTGAATGTGTATTTTAATCAAAAGTCTATTAAAAATATATATGTAATCTTTTAATAATATTCAAGATATGGCACTGCACTTTAATGGTATCTTTTATTCATTTTTATAAATGTTTATTGTCAAGGTTGGATTTTGATAGAAATACTTTTACAATTATATTAACAGTAATATTTTATAATGATGTTATTTTTTACGTACACTGTTTATATTGTATAGTTTGTATGACGTGAACACTGATAGCCTGCTGGGGTTTGCCCCCGATGTAAAGGAGTAGTTTCTCAATACATATATATATATTTAAATTCCTGTGAAAAATATTTTTTTTGTCTTTTTTTTTAAATTAACAATACCCAGCAATGGAGTTTCAAATTAAACTTTCAATATCATGCACCAGATAGACTAGTACAATATAGTACAAAACTATGTGAACTATAATTCTTTATCTATTGAGTTCATTGTTGTACTGATTAATCTCATGACTTTGTGACGACATTTATATGTATTACATAAGCTACAAAATTGACAAAATGATAAAAGGACAATACTTCCAAACTTTATAACTATTTTGGGTTAACTGTGTGAATATATTTGATAAAGAAAATTTTTTATGTACAATAAACACTCTTATAGACCTTGACGTAAATGATATATTTTATAACTACATGTATTACTAAGAGTAGAAACATTTAACAAGCCTTTGCAACTTAGTTTGTCTGTAAAAATAGAACTGGAGACTTGGAACCATCCTCTCATTGGCATGTACATTCTACACACTTGTTCTATCCTTGGTTAAGTCAAAGCGTAAAGTGATCATGATGTTACTTCAGCAGTTTCATCCCAGTAAGAACTTTGTCAAAGCTGTAAAAATGGTAGAGCAGGGGTAGAATTTTTTTCTGGTAACATCTGAATAAAGTTTCAGATTATATTGGTATCGGTGATAATACTGTTGTTATTATAGAGGGGATGCTGCTGCTGCTCATTTTGTAATTATACATAACGATAATATAAAAATACAAAGATGTTGTATGATTGCCAGTGACACAACTCTCCACCAGGGACCAAATGTTGTGGAAATTAACAACTGTAGGTCATCGTACAACCCTCAACAATGAGCAAAACCTATACCACATAGTAAGTTATAAAAGGCCCTGAAATGACAAAATGTGAAACTATTCATACGAGAAAACTAACGGCCTGATTTAATTATGTACAAAACAATAAAGAAAAAACTATATGAATATCACAATTAGTTTGCTGTGAATTTGAATTGTGGAATTACAGTAATGCTAATTTAAAGTGAGATATTAAATTTATTTCAGAAAAATGGTTTTACTTCTGTTAGAAGGAAGAGACCCACCAACTTTGGTTGAAACAACAAGGTAATGATCTTAAAAGTAATGCATATGATTCTAATGCAATATGACATGTAATGGCCCTTTTGATTGGTTGACGTCTGCTGTCAGTTTAAAGGCTGATAGTTGGAGTCTTTGGAAATGCAGCCAATGTTTCCACTACATGTTTTATTTTGAACATTTTGTTAGTATTGCATTAACATAATGGCAGTAATGTTGAGGAATCATTTCCAGGGTTGTTTGGGATTTGATAGTCATAAGTATTCATTTTACTGGCCTGGTCAATAAAACTTCATTTGCGGCTGTCAAAATTGAAATTAATATCTTCGTTAATTCCAATACTGTGCAGTTATTTCTGAAACAGATTTGTACTAAAACTATATCAGTTCTAATTTGTTATTCAGGCTAATTGGTCTGTTTTGTGATTGATGATATTATTAAGACTTACCAATCATTAGACCACAAATGAGTTGACTTTCATATACTGTAAATTCAGAAATAGTTGCATGCATTTATTATTGCAAAATTTTGTAGAATGGACTAAAATGCGAGATTAATTATTGGGATTTCAGGAAAATCTGCATACAGTCATATGTATCAGATATAAGAATGCAAGTTCTTATTATTGCGATACTCATTTGCAATAATATCTGAACTTATAGTATTAATTATGAATAGAAATAGACAGAAACCTAACAACAATAAACAATGAAAGATACATGGCTACTGGATATTTAAAAAAGCACATGAAGAAATTCAAAAATAGATTTTTAAAATGGAAATCAGATTAGTAAATTTTATTACTTTTCAACTATTTTGAAAGTTTGGAATGTTATCATGAGGTACATGCTTAATCATTGATTTAATCTCACTTTACTATTCTTCTTTCAGGTTAATGTTTACTTGTTTATCATGTAATCAGGCTAAGTCCAGTTGGTTAGAGGTCATTAACAGTTCAGATAGTCTCCATGATCACATCATTTTCATTCTGCAGAGTTCAACAAATGGTGAGGTTCTATTTACTTGGAGTGTATTACTGATAAATCATCGTCAAATTTCACAATCAAAATAGATCAAATTCCTGTAGTTTGCCTAATACCTTTTCATTTGAAACAGCCAGGCAAAAAGTATAAGTTTTGTGTTATAGATGGCATTTTTGACTGGTTCATTTTCTCTAACAAGTCACACTTTTCTGCTTTATATAAAAGTTATTTGAGGTGCAATGACTGTAAAAAGAAGGCTCTATTTAGAAAACAAATAATTGTTCCATAGTGGTCAGATGGTTACAGAAAATTTTTAAAAAAGTGTCCATACCAAATAAGGACAGAACAAGTACTAAGTTTTAGCAAATATGTTCAATTATCAAGTCATTTCCCATAAAAATGGCCACTGGTGAAAACAAAATTCATCTTGATCTTCACAAGTAGTTAGAAAATAAGTGACTATTTTAAATTGTTGCTGTAAAAGTTGGTGTTTATTTTATTGTTGAATATAGTTTTCATTAACCTGCATATGATAGAAGTGGGCTTTTTGTTTTTCAGTCTTTGCCTTTGTAAGTCCTTTCATCCCCCATCAGGTTGTTAAGGTTTTGGTTTAAGGTTGATTATTGTGATGTTGTGGTCACATTTTAAAAGCTTTTGTAATTCATCTTGAAAACTAAAAAAAGATCTAAAGATTTGAAAACATTAAAAAAACAACAAACAAGATCAGCACAAGATCTACAAATAAATCAATTGGATTGAATTTGTTTAAGGAATACCCCCCCCCCCCCCCCTTTCCTTCACCTTTTTCCTTTTTTAGACAGGATTTTTCAGCAAAATTAAAAAAAACACCATACTTTTTGTGTAATCAACTTCTCCTAAAGTTTTCAAAGCAGATCATTGAAACTGATAGTTTTGCACATATTGAATTTGTGAACCTGCTTTAATGGTATTTTTTAAAGATTTTCTTCCCTTTTGTCTGAACTTTGGAACTTAGTTATTTTTCATAAAAATTTACAAATACTTTTTCATAGAATGATTGCACATATACTGCAGTTGTGAACCTTATTTTATGGAATTATTTGAGGAATCTTTTCCTATTTATCAACTTGGGAACTTTTTCAGCAAAATTTTCAAAAAATGGTATCAATTTTTGTTTTCAACCCATTTCTTTGGAAATTTCACGAAAGTTTGCAAACCTATTGAGGTGGGCACCTTTAATATATGGAGTTGTTTAAGGATTTTACCCCATTTTTGTCTCGCCTGCGATGAAAGTCCAAGTAAGCGAGACACAGGTATTACTATCCTTCATCGGCGGCAAGCTAAACTATTTGTATAAAGCTTTATATTTCAGAAGGTAGAAGACCTTGATGCTTCATATCTTGTATGCAGATACCTAATCTTACGAATAATGAGTACATGTCAGTCTGGAAGGTATCATCTGACCTTGACCTCATTTTCATGGTTCATTGATTAATGTTAAGTTTTTTGTCGAGCCTGCGACTTTTGTCGCAGAAAGCTCGACATAGGGATAGTGATCCGGCGGCTACGGCGGCGGCGGCGGCGGCGGCGTTAGCTAACTTCTTAAAAGCTTTATATTTTAGAAGGTGGAAGGTCTGGATGCTTCATACTTTGTATATGGATGCCTCATGTTACGAAGTTTCTGTCAGTCACATGTCCAATGTCCTTGACCTCATTTTCATGGTTCAGTGACTACTTGAAAAAAAAGTTCAGATTTTTTGTAATGTTAAATTCTCTCTTATTATAAGTAATAGGATAACTATATTTGGTATGTGCGTACCTTGCAAGGTCCTCATGCCCGTCAGACAGTTTTCACTTGACCTCGACCTCATTTCATGGATCAGTGAACAAGGTTAAGTTTTGGTGGTCAAGTCCATATCTCAGATACTATAAGCAATAGGTCTAGTATATTCGGTGTATGGAAGGACTGTAAGGTGTACATGTCCAACTGGCAGGTGTCATCTGACCTTGACCTCATTTTCATGGTTCAGTGGTTATAGTTAATTTTTTGTGTTTTGGTCTGTTTTTCTTATACTGTATGCCATAGGTCTACTATATTTGGTGTATGGAATGATTGTAAGGTGTACATGTCTAGCGGGCAAGTGTCATATGACCTTGACCTCATTTTCATGGTTCAGTGGTCAAAGTTAAGTTTTTGAGTTTTGGTCTTTTTTTCTAATACTATATGCAATAGTTCAACTATATTTGGTATGTGCGTACCTTGCAAGGTCCTCATGCCCGTCAGACAGTTTTCACTTGACCTCGACCTCATTTCATGGATCAGTGAACAAGGTTAAGTTTTGGTGGTCAAGTCCATATCTCAGATACTATAAGCAATAGGTCTAGTATATTTGGTATATGGAAGGACTGTAAGGTGTACATGTCCAACTGGCAGGTGTCATCTGACCTTGACCTCATTTTCATGGTTCAGTGGTTATAGTTAAGTTTTTGTGTTTTGGTCTGTTTTTCTTATACTATATGCAATAGTTCATCTATATTTGGTGTATGGAAATATTTTATGATCTATTTGGCAGTCACGCAGGTTTTATTTGACCTTGACCTCATTTTCAAGGTTCATTGCTCAGTGTTAAGTTTTTGTGTTTTGGTCTGTTTTTCTTAAACTATAAGCAATAGGTCAACTATATTTGTTGTATGGAAGAATTGTTAGCTGTACATGCCTGCCTAGCATGGTTCATCTGACCTTGACCTCATTTTCATGGTTCATTGGTCAATGTTTAGTTTACTTGGTTAATGTTAAGTTTATGTGACAGTTGTAATAAAACTTTATATTTAGGACTATCAACATAATATCAATGATTAGTAAAGAAGGCGAGACATTTCAGCGTGTGCACTCTTGTGTTGTTTGGTCTGTTTTTCAAGTACTATAAGTAATAGGTCAACTATATTAGGTATATGGAAGGATTGTAAGGTGTACATGTCTGTCTTGCAGGTATTATTTAACCTTGACCTCATTTTTATGGTTCATTGGTCAATGTTAAGTTTTTTGTGTTTTGGGCTGTTTTTCAAGTACTATAAGCAATAGGTCAACTATATTTGGTGTATGGAATGATTGTAAGGTGTAAATGTCTGTCTGGCAGGTATCATCTGACCTTGCACTCTTGTTACATATTATATTTCCATATTCTTAAATGTTCTGTATAGATCTAGACCTTCTCTATTTGAGTCTTTGATTCATTTTTTTTTTGTCTTGGACAAGTTTGTAGCTTTTGCAGAAATCATTAAAATTGTAAGAAATTTTCATAATGTCTATGGAAGAAAATGGAATTTATTTGACCAACCACAAAGTACTTTAGAATTTAAAATTCTGTAAGGAATGTCAACAAAGTCTTCCAATTCCTTTATGCATATTGACATTTCTATTTTTATACAGCATTGCTGCTCTATTACATAACTCATACAATTTTATTTGAACTTAGTCACGTACTACTATTTAAAAAGGAATTGTACCGCTTGTATTCTTAACTTATCAGTGATAAATTTATATAGTCTTTTTCTGAAAAGTATCTTAAGCACTTGAACTGATAATCTAAATAAAAGTTTAAACCTATGGAGTTGTTCGTTCAAAAATCGGTCATCAAACCAGATGAACTTCGTGGTTAGTTTTTAGGTACCCACAGCCTGGCTGAGAACATCATTTATCTTTCCTCAGTGCAGTCAGTCATTTCTTTGTCTTCTTCTATTTTGAAACCATCAGGCCAAAAACTTGACAAGTGATTAAAGGAAGGTCCCCTTATTACTTAGTAATTCATTGTTACAAAAATACATTTTTATTGCAAGGTAATTTGTGTATTGGCAAGCTGGACTTTGCCTAATTATTAAATGATTTAATGAAATGAAATACATGTACATATATATAGAAACCTGTTTTTTGTGCAGTACTTGGGCATAAACCATGTACTTTGATATTTTATTAAAAGATTCTTCATTCAATTGCAGTAATTGATATCCATTGCTGTACAGTTAATAATGATTATTTATGTATCCTGGGCACACTTTTGTGTTTATGAATAATGATGATATATGAATTGTAAGAGACATTTTAAACATCTTTGAAGCCTCTAGTTTCAATTCAATCCATGTGTATTAACATACCTTTATGTAATTCTTGAATTCTCTCAGAACAGAGGGATTTTGTCTTTAATCACCTTGTTAGTAACTTGTTCTATATCTTACAAATATGAAAGATTAGTTATTTGTCGTTCAGGAAGGGATATTTATGAATAAAGATTGAAACAGCGCCATCTGCTGTATATGACGCTTATTTGTTCGACTTTTTCTGAAACTGATGTAAATCTGTTCCACATTTTAAAAATAAAATAGGTTAGTAGTATATCAACCAAAAGGAGAAGAAATTGACCCATAATCTGTTGAGTCGAGTAGAGTCTCATCATTGGAGGCTAGTTGAAGAAATTATTTTGTTTAATTTTAAGCTTTGTTTAAATTTTCAAATTTCTATTGCACTGTTTTATAGGTTATTCTTAATCAAGTTTTGTATCACAGGATTTAATAGGCAAGAGGATAACATTTTTTTTTTTATTAAATTTTTTAAGCAATTTTGATTAAATTAAAACTTTATTGTCATTAAACTGAATAATCGTGTGAAAAATATAATATATTTATTATTGTTTACATGGAAGAGTCGTGCTCCTTAAGATTTTATTTTTTTAAAGTTATGATTTTTCAAGTTTCTGTATGATAATTGAATCAATTCTGTTTTGAATTTCTTTTGATATGTAGAATACTACTGAAAATTATCCTGATACGTTCCTATTTTGTCATTTAAAATTTTGACTGAATTCTTATAATCATATCTAAAGTGCTTTTTATCAACTCATTTGTTCTATATAAAGTTAAATAAAGTGCACTGCCCAAGAAAAATAATGTGTCAAACGTAACATTTGAACAGTCATCATTTAATGCAGATCAGGGGGTAAACATTGTGGCATCTGTGGCACATAGTTTCCATTAAAGTTCCAAAGGGAAATCTTCTGTAATCTTCTGAAATCACTAGGCTAATGTGAAGTAAACTTAGCAGGAATGATGTTTAGAAGGACCTCTACAAACTAATCTCATTTTGTCCTCACCAGATGGAAAACATGGTAATCATTGATTCTGATTGGCCAGTTTTCATAAATTTTCTTATCTGAATTTCTCTGAACTTACAAGGTGAAATGTTTTGAAACTTCAGAGGACTGGTAGTTGTAAGACCCTCTAGAAGCCACTTATTACCCTTGTAATATTTCTTTTCTACTGAAGTAATCCAGGCACTTTGGAGCCTCTTGTTTAATTTATTGTAGCTACTAAGATGTAAATTATTAACAGTTATATTTGTTTTATTGTTCTCCCAACTATTTGTAAAGTTATTGCTTTTGTCTTTTTATGATCCTTGTATCTTTTTTGTTTTGTTAATCATTTTGCTGTTTTAGCTGTGTTAGCCTAGTATATCATGTATATCATGAGGTAAAGAAAATGTCACCACACATTTCGTTTACTTCCAACCTTTGTGAATTGTGATATTTTTATAGGAAGAATATTTTATTTTAATATTTTTTAATTATTATTATGGGTCATGTAGTTCAGTTTTAAGAAATAATAACAAAATGAATAACATACATTGTCATATTTTGACACATTAAAGCACATGCATTTTAAAATATGAACTAACCTAAGACATAGATTTTTCGTAAGACATATGAGGTATATTTAATTTTAATAATAATAATAATAATAATAATAAATTCTTTATTTAAAGAGGGTAAACTCAGTTAGTTACAATAAACTAATCTTCCCTGAGGCCCTCACATATAAATTACAATACAATCAAAAAACAGATATTTACACATAGTTAATTTACAGTCAATTAGTTCAATGTAATATTACTAACATGATAAGATATAAGGCTGTTCAAGATGTACATGTAGTCAAAAAATCAAATACAAAATAATAGATGTGTACTGATTATTGTGGGTCATGCAATTCAGTTTAAAGAAATAAAGATTAAATGAATAACATACATGTCATAGTTTGACACAATAAATTCTTGATTCAAGCTCATGCAGAGTCATGTGAGGTGGGTTATATTTAATGTAGATTGTCAAATGAAAGAAAACTGCCCAGGCAGTATTTACTTTAGATGTACTAGTTTTGGTGCGTCAGGACCTTGTTTGGGTCAGAAAGATTTATGTCAAAAGTATGCATACATTATTCTTTTGGAAAAAGTACTGAATCTTGTTTTGCTGATTTTTACAGTAGTGATTTGTCTGTAAAAAGTCATTGAGAAGATTTTAGTGAAGCTATAGTTGAATATCCACTATATATTTTGTATTCATATTAGATGGAAATTAGTTTCTTATGACTGTGGTAAAGTGTTAAGATACTTTCACAAAAAAAGTTTGAACTCCCTACAGAAGTAACCCATTACCCCAACTTAAACAAGAAAATAAGATTCAAGTAAAGGTAGAGTTCCTTTACACTATGAGAAAAGTGAAACCAAAATATTTTCATCTTTACATGTTTTGGGAGTTGCTTGTTTTTCAGCACAATTTTCAACAAATTGTTCCTAATTTGAAAATCTGTTTATCCTCACAATTGTGTACAAAATATTTTTAAACATAATTAAGTTTTTGAGTTTTGATAAACTTTAATAGATGTACATGTATATATATGGTAGGTGTTTAACAATAGAACAAAGGGAGATATAGTCTAGGGCTGTCTTGAAACTGCAGTGAGGTTAGAGTATTTGCTCCATGTTGAAGGCCTTTTTGTGATTGATTGATTGATTGATTGGTGTTTAACGCCACTTTCAATACTATTGTGCTATTTCGTGGCAGTCAGTTTTTATTGGTGGAGGAAGCCGGTGTGCCTGGAGAGAACCACCGATTTTGTGATTGAGATAAAGATCAGCAATACAAGTGCTATTCCTTTGGGGTTTTTTTTCATGTGTGGGTAGTGATTTGTGTCATGAATTGATACACTATATCCTTTTTTCCCAATAAATAAAATCAGAAAAATAACAACATATAGACACTATCTTCATTGATTAATATGACCTATAATCTATAAGAAAAGCTTAAGGTCTGGTAAAGTCAAGTGCATGAGATTAGTTAACAAGGCTTTAACTCATTCTAATAAAAAAGAACTAAAATAGTAACAACATAGATACAACACAGATATTAATTGAATAACTAATCCAAGAATTTGAATGTCAAAAACTATTGAACATGTTATTGAACAACACATTAATGTATGGATAAGCAGTGTTGTTTGTTTCATGAAGAACTTTATCAATATTTGAATTCATGGATTAGTTATTCTTTTTATTATATTTACTTTTTAATGTAAATAAAATTAGATAGAAAATGCAAAGAACAATATCTTTTCCTACTCATTCTCACTTTATTTTGATGTAACTTGATAAGACCAATTGTTGTATGACGTCCTAGCAGTGATATTACATTTTTATTTCACTTCATGTGAAATAGAGAAATAAAAGTGTTTATTTGACAGGGTAAACATGGTGTTTCATTGGAACCATTGAATACAATAAGTTTTTGATAATCACTGAACCTTTGATTCATGGCTTGGGACAGAAGTTATTAAAGTTGGCTTTAACTTCTTTCAATCTTTACTGTACTCTTTTTCTAATATCAAGACTTCATAAAACAAAAATTAATGGTTTTTTGCACTGAAATATATATAAACTTTATTTTGAGTGAGCACAAAGAACTAGTTCAAAAAGGCTTCAAATTTAATGAAATTTTTTATGTAAATTATATAATTTAATTTGGTTGAAATATATTACAAACATCCTGACAGAAAATAAAACTTGGGTGTTTTATCATCTGAAAATAACAATGCTTCACAACAAAAATATAATTAAATTAGCAAATAAACCATTGACAATTCTGCTTCTATTGGATGACTAAAATCTAAACTGGAATGACCTCTCAATAATTCTTAGAAAAAACGTAGGGTTTATTTGAAATTAATAGCAAAAATTTGAAGGTGACAACACTTATTGCATAACATTTTATATTCTTAATAAAACTTCCTTCATATAACAAACATCCATATTACAGAAATGGTTTTATTATATATTTTCAGTTGATTTATTAAAGAACACAGGAGAATTTGTAGATGTATTGTTAGATTTACAGGAAGATATGTGTGAAAATTGGGCTACAGCAGAATTTGTACAGGCTCTATTAGAGGCTATAAAACAGATTGGGTAAGAGAGTTTATTTTCTGCAAATAATCAATTTTACTGAATGATGTGATCTTGTAAGACCTGAATTCATGCTAAAAAATAAATGTGGCAAAGAGCAACCAATCACACCCACTCAATTACAGGCTCCTGACTTGGCAGAGACACATCAAGAATATGACAAGGTTAAACATTTTTGTAAGTGCTCAAGTGATGTAACAGCTCAAAATAAGAACAAACACTAAAAATCTGAAAGGGTTTGGCTCATTAAATCAGCCATATGTTCAATATTAAAACAATTAACAAACACAAATTACCCAATCTAAGAGTACTCACAGATACTAAAAGCTAGTTGAAAGCAAATTTCAACTACGTAATAAAAAAGTTTTTTAAATTTACTTTAGAGTATGATAACACCAGAGCTTCAAATGGAAACACAAATTCAAATAGAATTTGATAGTTACATGCTTGACATAACAGAGCATTTAAGAATCCTGGCTAGCTGTCCGACCTGGAAACCATGAATTGACAATGATTAAGTAAGAAATATCTGATGCAGGCTTTTTGAACTTTTTCTTTCAGGCTGAATCAAATTATTCAGAGAATATGTTTTTCCCAAATTTATAACATATAACTTGTTAATGTTAACAATTATGTGAACTATCTATTCTATGGATTACTTATCAGTTTAGTTTTAAGTGTGTTTTATTTTTACTTCACAGTAATTTTTTTTTATAATTGATTAATTATTTAAATATTTTAGTCTGTATCAGTCAAATCATGTATATAAAAAAATTATGCACATTGTTGCAGCATTGTGATATAAAATTTGTGACAAATCATTAAATAATTTTTTAAAATGGTATTAAAAAGTAGATTTACATTTTCAAAGTGTTATCCAGTAAGAGTTGTCTCCCATCTTTTAGTTATTCAAATGAATAGCTTTTACTTCTGAAGTGATTGAAATTACAAAAAGACAGATTTCTCTCTGACCACTTATCAAGTATTTTTGAGCTCCAAACTGTTGATCAATGTATTTTAATGTGATTTTTACTATAAATCATAGCATTAATATAAAAAAATGATTGGCCATTCAGGTGTTCACCAATGACATGTATTTGCAGATTGAGTCACAGTCAACAATTAGAAATCTACTTCCGTATTTTACAGTTATTGTCAACAACTGATACTGGAGCAGAAGTACTAGGTTAGTAGCATGCCACAATGTGTAATGTACTCTTACATCAATGTCATTTTAGATAAAATAAAATGATAAAATTGTTTTTAAGATATTCCATGCCTAGTACATTTATATTGAACAGAAATTGCTTTGGGACCATGCCCTGTTTCAATTTATTGAATAATCCATTCTGATTTGCTGAAGAGATGGAAATGATGCAATAAATTATTACTTGGCACATACTAATGTAACAATGAGCGCCCTGTCGCAACAAAATTAATTAGGACATGGTTGTCAGGCAAGGTAACTATTGAAGCTAAACGCGTTGCAATTCCAGTATATTTTGTCACTCAGAATATCTCCAATTTTCTATAAGGATACAATGAAATATGAGAATCCGGAACCTTTTTTTCGACAAAATCAATTAAGCGTTTTATTTGAATATCAATGCATTAAAATCTGTTACACTCCTATCATGCCACCCAAAAATTTATGAAAACTCTCAAAAGGGCCAACAAACTGTCTTTTGGATCACCTGCAATTTCGGAGGATACTAGAAATGTGGGTGAAAATGAGTGGGAACAAGCTAACACTATATTATAATATGTTATTTATCATTTACTTCTTGGCACTTTGATTTTTTCTTATTGAGCTATAGGAAACGAACAAATCAATAAGAAAAAACTCTAAGGAAATTTTTAATTTATTTTGACAGAACAATTACTGAAGCATCAGAATTAAAAACCAAACTACATGTTTTATAATCTAAAAAATAAAATATAATTCTTATTATAGCAATTGCTCAAACTTAAAAATGGACACTCAAAGGCTGTTAAGCATTGGAGAACAGTGAAGAAAAGAAATTTTAAATTAACTCTGTTTAAAATTATTGAGATAATAAAAAATGCTCCCAGGAAATTGCATCTTTAGCCTCTCCAAAACCCATCAATTCACAGGCCCTTCAAAGAAAAATTCCAGGGAGATCCTTGTTGAAGGACTAAAGCATGAGAAATTTCCAACTTTTAAGACTTTGTTACTATTTTCAAATATTTTTAAAGGACCAATTTAATAACATTCTGTCTATATCTGTAAGATAATATTTCATGACCTGCTCAACAACTGTTGTTCATATTATAGTTTTATTCTGGCAGCTTGAAGGGTCTTAATTTCTATTTTGAATATTACAAAATCATGTGAATATTGGATTGAAATGATAACTGTGGATTCATTTATTTTCGTGGGTAATAATTTTTGTGGATTGGGGAAAACTTACACTTTCGTTGATATTTAATTTCGTGGTTTTTGCCAAAGTCTCCATACAAGCCCGTGAACATTTGCAATTCGTTGAACATTTAAATTTGTGGTTCATCTGTACCCACGGTATCCACAAAAATAGGTATCCAACAAAAATAATAAATCCACAGTAATATGTTTGTTCAAAATCAAATGTAAGGTGTTCCTAAAATATACAAAACTTTTAAGATCAAAAGATGATACAAAGAACAAGATATGATAAAGCCACTTGTTTGGCCCCTTGAATTTGAACATTATCATGATTATAAATCTATCAAATAGAATTCTTTAATTGTTTACCTCACATATATTTTTTAAAATTTTTGTCTTATATCATAAAATTAATTTAGGCATGATTGCCAATGATACCAATTACCCACTAAAATTCTTGTCAAGAATGTAAATAACTACAGGTAATCAAATAGGCTTTAACAATGAGCAAAACCTAAACTACAAAGCAAGCTATAACAGGCTCATTACAATATGTGAAACTTTTCAAAAAAGAAAGCTAACAGTATGTGTAAAACAAAACATATTATGTAAAATAGGAATTTTAGTTGAAATATTTCATTTTCATCATGTTTATGACATCATAGTAACATTACAAATAACATGTCTGCACTAAAGTGTCATGATTATATAATTGTATTCATTTGAATCAATAAAATCGACTTAAGGTGTAATACCACCATTGATTTTCCCCTATTAGTCTTTGTTAAATTCACACTTTTCAAAAAAATGTGCAGAATTTATCTTTGTTTCAAATAAAGAAATACTTGGCATGAGTAAAGTTTTATTCTGTCCAGTACTACAGACATAATTTCACACAACATTTCATTGCATATAAGAAAATAACCATCACAAGAAGTTAACAAATCAAATTTTCACCTCTTTTTTACCTGTGTACAAGCTTTAGTAACCATGTAACCTCAAGTTTCCAAAATATTCTATAGAAACCCTAATAAAAAAAAAATGGTGCTTTGAGATCCCGAAGATAAATGTTTATGACCCAGAAATTTTTTACTGCAATGAAATGTAGGATTAATTACCTACAACTGTCAAATTCAAGGGAATATTTTTTCAACCCTTTTTCGTATGCAACCGGATGTGACGTACTATGATTTGGTGGTATTACACCTTAATTTTGATAGGATTGAGGAATTATACTAACTTTGAAATATCACAGTAGGATAATGACTTATGTCATAACCCCTCAGAAAAATTTCAAAAATTGTATAGTTTTAACATATATGGCAAAAAAAATTATGTGTTTGCAGTTGCGGGCATGTCCCTATTTAATAGGCTCTGATCCTAACTTTTCATAAAAAAAAATTGGGGTGTTTCCGGTTGCCTGGCCTTCCTATCTTTCAATTTGTCCCAAAATTGTCTGGGTCTGATTAGGGCTATTTTAGAAGTGTTAAGTGACCTTGAATGATTATAAACATATGACCAGCTTCTATAAAAATGGCAAAAAAAAAGTGTGCATCAAGCTCAGTTGATGAAATGCAACCATAAACCTGACATTCAAATGTTCATGACAGTTTTAAATTCGATCAATATTGATGAAAAAGACCTGAAGGCATAACAAATTTATTGTATAAATATACAAAAAACACAATGCAAGCAAGCCTATCTGTAAGTAGGAAATATCCAGTACATGAAAGAATTAAAACGTATTTATACTAGTTATACTGCAGCTAGATAAAGTTTTAGAAAATAGGTAACTTATAATACATATCGGCATGTCCTACCACACACAATACATATCAGCATGTCGTATCACACACAATACATATCAGCATGTCCTACCACACACAATACATATCAGCATGTTCTACCACACACAATACATATCAGCATGTCGTACCACACACAATACATATCAGCATGTCCTACCACACACAATACATATCAGCATGTTCTACCACACACAATACATATCAGCATGTCCTACCACACACAATACATATCAGCATGTCCTACCACACACAATACATATCAGCATGTTCTACCACACACAATTCATATCACACACCATACAAAATACTGTATACTACATGTTTTCATATTGTTAGAACTTGCAAAGTTTGCTTCAATCTTTTTCTTTTTTACAGTGTCATGTGCTGATGCTGTAGAAAAACCATTGGTAAAGTATCTGAACACAGTGTGTGATGATGAGATTGTTGGCATTGAAAATAAGGAATCTTGTATAGCATCAGCACTCTCAGTATTAAACATACTGTTCTCTGCCAATGACGAAACATCAAACAGACTCATAAAAGGTAGTTTAAAGATATATCATTTATATGAAGTAATTGCACTGATATTGATGGATATTGCTGTGAGCAGAAATTATATTGCAACAGTTTGTTTTGTTAATCATTTGCTAAAAGCAATAATTACCAAACTCTTTGTCCTACTATAAAAATTTTGCAATCGTATTATGGTGTGATTACCGTAACCTAAAATTAAAAGAAGAATGACAAACATGATGATATACAACAATGAAAACAGCATTAACTTGAATTGTAGATTTTCTAGACTCTTTGATATTTACATTCATGATTGGGAAAAAATCGTTTAAAAAAAAATCATAAAATTGAAGATGAGTAAATATACAACCCCACCCCTTCTCTAGATGATTTTATTTAATAGATAATTTCACACAATAACAAATATTACACTCACAAAAATGAAAAATATTGTTAGAAGAAGTAATTGTCTTTCCTTGACAGAGTCAAAAAGCGAGACATAGGTATGCTGTTTCTGGCTGTGGCGTCGGTGTCAACAATGTATTAAGTTTGTGATTAGGTCTAGTTTATGGTGAACCACTAGTGGTAGGTCAATGGTATTTGGTATGCAGTTGTATAAGAATTTGGCACATCTTATTTCCATGGAGATTATTTGGCCCTACCCCTCAGTCATGTTCTGTTGACTTTGAAACTTTTGCTTAGTTTACATGTATTAGTTTGTGATTAGGTCAGTTCAAGGGGAACCATTAGTGGTAGGCCAATGCTAATTGGTTTGCAGTTATATAAGCATTAGCACATCTCATTTCCATGGAGAATATTTGGCCCCGCCCCCTCAGTCATGGTCTATTGACTTTGAAACTTTTGATTAGTTTACATGTATTAGTTTGTGATAAGCTCAGTTTAAGATGAACCACTAATGTTAAGTCAATGATATTAGGTATGTAAATTTATTGGCATTTGCAAGTCTTGTTTCCATGGAGATTATAAAGCCCTACCCCCTTATCATGGTTCATTAACTTTGAAACTTTTACATAGTTTACAAGTTAATGTTTGGGTTTAGGTTTGTTTAAAGGGAATGACTTATGATAAGTCAATGGTATTTAGTATGCAGTTGTATTAGCATTTGCACATCTCATTTCCATAGAATTGTTTAGCCATGTACCTTCAGTCATGGTTTATTTACTTTGAATATTTGCATAACTTACATGTTAAAATATTGATATTTTAATTTCAACATTTGCATTATCAAAAATACAAAAAGGCGAGACATATCTCTGTGTTAACAGTTTATTTTAATATTTTATTTGGTCTTAATTATAAGTTGATGTTTTTGTTTGCTTAACTTCCACGACAAATGTTTCACACATATTCAGGGCAAAAGGATACTAAAATTAGTTAAAGATTGTCTATTAATAGATTTCGTTGATGTGAAGAAAAAAAATCCATAAAAGTTAATATGTTTAGATTGTCTTTATCTGTTTGGTGGTTCTTGAAGAAAACGTTTTAAAAATTGTTCCTTATTACTCTGTTTTAGATGAAAAATTAATAAGAGTGTTTGTAAAAATATTGGAACCATTGTATCCCTGGCTACAAGACATTAAAAAGTCAACAACTAACAAATTAGAAAAGAAAAGTTTATTATGTGAGGAAAGTGGTAATGTGGAAAAGACAGATTTAAAATGTAGAAACAAAGATAATGAGTCTGGAACTGAAAAAGAATCTCGATGTAATAGTGAAATTTTAGAGGGATTAAAACAACGAGATGACAAAGAATTTCAGCATTTAGAGATTTTATACCATATTGTTGAGGGATTTGTTTATGATTATATGTTTACTCTACAGATGGTAAGTTTGGATTTGTAATGTATGCTTAGCAAGAATGATTCCGTGGAACCCTTAGAAATTTCTATATGCAAAACCAATTGTGCTTTAATTGTTGTTCTTGGTCTATTGAAGTAATTGCAATAGTCTACAGCAAGTGTTATTGATATAATAATGCTGTCCTCGAAAAAAAATTTGTGAGAGTAGTCAATAAATCTAGAAGACTGAAGACTGCCATCTTTTACTTGACAATCAATGTTATTGAATACAACAGATATACAAATACAAACATGAATACCAAAAAAATGGAAAAATATGGAAATTATAAAAGTGACAGAATACATACCATGTAAATAAGTGAAATATTTTTGTTGCAAAATAGGTACTTTCTACACACAAAAAAATACCTTTTTGCCTCACTTATGATTGACTTAAGATATATATATATATATATATATTGCATGCACACGTATAAAAATTGCGGTTTTTATCCAATGCAATCATAGGTTTGAACGTTGTTTTCAATTTAGACTTGTATATATATATTGTTCTCCTGACAGCAACAATTTTAACAGCTAAATTTTATTTACTGTATGGAAAAAACAACAACGAACAACACTTGGCAATCATGTCAAGATGAAGTGCATGAAGATTTCATATTTTTGCTATTTAAAACATCAAAGTTAAATACAGAATTCTGTAGCGTTTAATGGGTTATCTTAACACCCAGAACATTCAGATCCAAAATGTGGTACCACTAGTGGAACAGAAATTGCTTACCAGGCAGATGATGTGTTGTTGGTCTTTTTCTATGTACATTAATAAGGAACAAAAGGGTCATAGAATAACTAGCTATAAACCTTTTAACGAATCTATCAAAGTGAATGTAATACATCATGTCAATCTCTGACTACTGGTAGATTTTGATTTTAATGCCTCATATTGTAACAGGGGAGATAAATTAAGTCATCAAAGCATTATAGGTTTATTGAGTTACCTCCCATTCAATAGTAACATGTTTTTATTACTTTATACAGATTATAGATAGTGATAGTGAAAATGATAGTGAAGAAGAAACACAAAAGACAGATGTAACCAAGTTTTTGTCATATCTCAATGATTCTTGTAGTAGATGTCGAATTAACTATCTTGTTCTGACAATGAAAGAGTCCATTAATGAAGCATTTAACCCAACAGAACTTTTAACAAATCTAGCAGCTGAACACAAAAAAGAACGATTAGCAAGGATTACTGCTGATGCACTAGCAGGCCGAAACTTGGACAGATCAGACTCAAATACAGACAGTCAAAATAATACATAGTTATACTATTACTGCAAGAATCAAATTAATTATTAATAAAGGTTAGAAAGAACTCTGCAAAATTTATTTGGTAGTTCTAAGGTAGGTCTGTGAAGTGATTGTTGCTATAGAAACTAGAAAACTATTGACAAATGAAAAATTAGTCCTATCTCTGACTAAACATATGAAACCTATATATGTAAATAAGTAAACCAGGATGTCTGCGACAACTATTGCTGTTATTGGTAATTTTACAGAAACTAATAAAAAGAGAGAAATTGATAATGGTGAGATGAAGAATAAACATTTCTTATGCTGGGCTTGAATACTACATAAGACATGTAAGATTTCAGTATTTAGTGAATAATGCTAGGCTGAAGAACAGGATGTTGTAGATTCCATTCCCAGGTATCTCTAAGTCAATAATTATGTGTTCTGAGAAGGGCAATATGTCTTCTGCTGGTAGTTACCATGTCAGCTATTTAAAAATAAGTAGATGAGGTAACATTATAAAAATAAGTAGACGTGGTATCAATGCCACTGAGACAATTATCCACCAGAGACCAAGAAAGTAATAAATTGAAAATTGGACTCAAGTGATTTATTTTGTACATATCATGAACATGTCATCATCCTGAATATGCATGTGCTATTTTGCAAATGGAGTTTAAGCAGTTATGAGTGAATCAGTCGGGTACTAATGGATCTTGGTGATAAGTTGAATCCTTAGGGAGTAATACAGCATCACATTAAAAGTTTGAACTGTTTGTATATGTTTCATTGACTTTGTTTTAAATACAAGTTCAGGACGGAAATGATGTCACCTGTAATCACAGAATATGTCGTAAGGATGAATTTTAAAGAGTATAGCAGTGGAATATTATAATACAAGGCCACTCTGACTTAAATTCTATGCTTCATTTACATTATATTAGATTAGACATTTGAGTTCAGATCTATAATTCTGAGTGACCAACATTCATAAGTGAACAGATGATTTAGGGGATATTAGATATGTTTATAAAAGGTACATCACTGTTCTACACTTGACACTTCACTGACTTGTAATAAGTTTTGACTTTCAAGTTCATTTTTAGATAGAAAAAGACATAAAATCATATGGTAACTTGGATGCATTCAAGAGAAAAAGACAGAATGATCTATATTTAATTCCTTCATTGATTCATATAAAAGTTCTTTTCTTTGGTGATTACATTTCTGTCAATTTCACATTGGGGTTCAATTTCATATTGTTTACTGTTTTGATTTTACATATAAAGTTTATAAAGTTAATTCAAGGACAAAGAGAACTAAGATGTCTGTATCTGTCTGTTTACACTTTAATCGTGCACATCCAAGGTATCCTATGACCTTAGTGATCAGGATAGTGGTAGATCTTAGAAACATGGATCATTTCAGTCTATCACACAGTGCTCAAACTACTTAATAATCATAAGAAAAAATAACTTGTCTCTCTGACCTGAGAAGGAGACGTGCTAGACTTGAAAGTCAGAGAGTTGGTTGTTTACTCATGGTGCTATAATGTTCATTTGCTTCAATGTTTTGTCATTTGTATCCTCACATTTGTTTACTATTAGTAAAAACTTGGACTTTATGACTTTTCCAGTAATTATAGTGTGACTCTTATAATGTCAATAAAGTAAGAAGTGCAGGAAACTTTATCTGTTTTAAGTGTTCTTTCTTTATTGTAGTAAATAAACCATTTTTTAAGACGTTTCGGCCACCGGCCTTCTTCAGTTTATTATCCTTCTTAATTACACAGTAGACATTTTACTTTCACAATCATTGAATTTTTTTAACTTTGTTTGGTTGTTGGTTGTTTATGTATTTAACTACATGTAATTTACATATCACCATCTCTTGTTAAGTTGTTGGTTGTTTATGTATTTAACTACATGTAATTTACATATCACCATCTCTTGTTAAGTTGTTGGTTGTTTATGTATTTAACTAGATGTAATTTACATATCACCTTCTCTTGTTAAGTTGTTGGTTATTCATGTATTTAACTACATGTAATTTACATATCACCATCTCTTGTTAAGTTGTTGGTTGTTTATGCATTTAACTACATGTAATTTACATATCACCATCTCTTGTTAAGTTGTTGGTTGTTTATGTATTTAACTACATGTAATTTACATATCACCATCTCTTGTTAAGTTATAGGTTATTCATGTTTAAAAGCAAAAAATTTACACTATTTAATCTCAGTACAACATGTCCTCACTGATTACAAACTTAACATTGAAAACTAAAATACCAGACAAGTTCCCTGTTCATCTATCTGTATCTGTTCTAAACAATATCATACTTTTCTTGTTAGAAATTACAGAGCTTAACCAACAAATAAGAGCAAGAATAATGTATGGATGGTCATTAATTGAAAATTCATTATTTATGTTTATTTATTGGATAAAATATGTTATACCCAACTCCAGAACTTAGAAGTGGGGGTTACATTACAATCACCATGAGAGGGGGTAGGTAAAGTATTGGTTCTATCTGTTAGTCTGTCCCTGTCTTGGTCTTTACATTCATTTTTCTATTTGTCCATCTTTCCATCTGTCTGTCCATCCGTCATCTGTCGATCTATATTTAGCAGCTTGACAGTGATGAGTTGTATTGTGTGAACACTTATTGGATCTGTCAGATAACTACTTTGTGTTTGCTGACACTTTGAATTTTTTATGCCCCCGCCATAGGCGATGGGGCATCAAGTGTTACCCTCGACCGTCTGTCTCTCTGTCCGTCCGTCCCATTTTTTTGTTGCAAAACTTGAGCAGGGGCATTTGTATCTTAGGACACATTCTTCTTTTATTAGTCCCCTACCAAAGAAGTCGAAGGAGACTATAGGTTTGCACTCTGTCTGTCTGTCTGTCTGTCAGTCCGGCAAATCAGTTTTCCACACTTTTTTTCTTTGGCTTGAAGATATTGATTTGATATTTGGTATATAGTTTCATCATGACAAGTTTCAGATCAAGTTCGAATTTTGTTCTGGTCTGATGATTTTGTGCAGAGTAATGGTCCTTGGAAAATTCATGCAAGTAATCAGTTTTCCACACTTTTTTAATGATTTGATATTTGGTATATAGTTTTACCATGACAAGTTACAGATGAATTATGAATTTTGTTCCAGTCAGATGATTTTGTGCAGCGTTATGGTCCTTGGACTTAGAAAATTCAGCAGGTAATCAGTTTTCCCCATTTTTTTTTCATCATGCTTGAAGATATTGATTTGATATTTGGTATATAGTTTTACCATGACAAGTTACAGATCAAGTTAGAATTTGATTTGGTTTGGATGATTTTTTTGCAGTGTTATGGTCCTCGAACTTAGAAAATTCACGCAAATAATTAGTTTTCCGCACTTTTTTTCGTCATGCTTGAAGATATTGATTTGAATTTGTAAAATAGCTTACACCATGACAAGTTATAGATCAAGTAAGAATTTTGTTCCAGTACAATGAATTTTTAACTGGTATGGGACTATGTATTGCCATGCAATACTCTGAAAAGCTTGTTTTTAAATCTGTTGAATGAAGTTAAAATTTTTCTATACACTTTTCTCCAATACTAAAGGACAAAATGACTTCTTTTCTGGTCAGCACATCAACAGTGATAAGTTGTAATGTGTGTGTACATATTGGATCTGTCGGGCCCCTACTTCCTGTTTGTCAACAATTTGAATTACGAGTGATGGGGTATACCTAGCACGACAATGCTTGCATTCTTGTTTCATCTGTGAAGACCAAGGCTGTATGATTACATATATGTCTGTTATAACTTAATTTACTATGTCAATTTGAATGTGAATGAATAACTGTAAATCAACTTATTGTTGAAGATACTTAATTTCGCTGTAAGCTCTTTTTAGCTGACCTCGCTGTGATTTATTTTCAGTATTTATTTATTTTCTTGAGGTATTTATATAAGGAATATTCATGTGATACTTATTCACATTATTTTTCTATTCACGATCTTAAGAATAATCCTCTTGCGAAATTAGTTAATTTACAGTAATTAAATCACTCAAGACTCTGGCTTGACTACTTAAAGATCAAAGGTGAAATTTAAAACTGTAGTTACTAATTCCTTTAATTGGATTTGCATTTTTATATGGCTTATTGACCATAAATCCGAGAACAAATGGTCTTATGTTAAATTATTTTTTATGTTTCAGATATATTCTTATATGCCATTACTACAGATTAAAGTAATTGCAATGTCATTTTTATTGATTTGTAGAAAAGCACAAGGTATATTAGAAATTGACAAAAATAAATTGCAGGATGCCATTGATTTTCACAAATTAAAAGTCTGAAATTAATAGCAATGCTATATAGTTTGACTGATGAGGTCATTAAAGAGTTGTCATCAGGGAGAGTTGCAATAGATTTGATCTAAATGTAGATGAATTTGAAAAGCATGGCTAAATATTCATGGAGCACAACTATACTGGAAATTTTTTTGCCAGTGAGTATACTCCCAAATTAATTTTCTGTCTTTTTTGGAAATGGTTAGGTGAAAGTGTTGATTTTAAGCATTTGTGAGTCAAAGGGTCAATACAACTTATTCCCCATACTTCTTTATTTACTGTCAATTTATATCTGTAGAACATTAAGAAAGGAAACATTTAATCGAACTGTTAACTGTCATCTTTTACATACCATATTTGACCATGGCTACTGGTCAGTCATTTAATTGGTTAACAAATTATCTATACATTTGTATGCAGAAATAATTTTCGCAAAGAAATCAAATATCCACAAAAAGTTTTCCTCAATGCAGGAAAATTGGAACCCTTAAAAGTAAATAACAGAGGTCATGCAAACTTTATAAGAATAAGGAGATGTGGTATCATTGATATTTATCTATTAAAGACCAGGGATGTATATAGTTCACTATGTGGCCTTCAACAAAGAGTAAAACCAGAGCCATATACCAAATTATAAAATGACCTGAGATGTCAAAATGTGAAACAATTCAAAACAGAAAAAAACAGCCTTATATATTCTACAAAAATAAACTAAAAACTTTTATGGCAGACAG